TTTTGCTAAATATTTGAATATGGTCCTTTTCTTTTGATGATGGTATTTTATGGGGATCGTCTCTTCTTAGGGTTACCAAGTAGAATTATATGCAGCCTAGGGTGTCATGGGCACTTACATTGTATGAGTAGTGGGAGTATATGTGGGGATTAACCACTGTGCATTTTGGACTCTCCAGGGCAAGGCCTCTGTCGACATTCTCCTTCTTTCACAGTACTTCCTATGGTGTTTTGCCCGTGGCTGATTGTGAATAACACATTTATCAAAAGTAGCCACACTTAACTCTTCCTATATTTCTAATTACAGTAGGGCAATTAATAAATACCAGCCTTAACATTTGTGCTAGTCTTCTTCTAAATATATTCTGTTCCAAAGAACTGTCAAATCACTTTGGAATGAAGCTTGATGAAATAAACGAGCAAACAGCTATCAGTCCAGCGGGACGCAGATGCTCTTCCAGGAGACACAAATTTGATGTCAGCGCACAAGTGAGAACTAGTCAGGTAACACCGGGGTCAGCCCCCTGACTTGGGAGGCATAGGATGCTGCTCGTGGTCCCGTAAACATTAGGAATCCCCAGAAACGGGTTTATTAGCAATGATGGGAGGGCAGGGTGCAGCTCTCTGCTGCTTGTCTCTGGTGGGCTTGGGCTTGAAAACGACAAGTATTATAGCACGAGACTCTGCCTGGGGCCCTAGAGGCACGGACCTGGGTCTCTCTGGGTGGCACCCTCATCCCCCCTCAGTCCTGTCCTCCTCACTGCCGCGGTCTGACGCCCTCAGATCCCTGAGGACCCTTTATTAAGTGCAGGGTGTGTGCTTCCCACTGGCTGCATTTTAGCAAAGCTTTTAGAAACCTGTCAGCGGTGGCGAGCCCTGGGAACCTAAGCATGGAAGTCGTTTCAACCACCTACTGCAGGGATTAGAAAACTGCTGCCGTGGAGGCCAGGCAGGAACTCCTTGAGGTTAGTGGGCCTTGGGTCTCTGCCACTGTGTAGCTCTGCACTGGTGGCGTGAAAGCAGCCTTGGACACTGTGCAAAGGCACGAGTCTGTGTTCTAGTAAAACTTTATAGATAGACACTAACATTTGACCTTCGTATTGTTTTCACTTTATTAAACCGTACTGTTTTGATTTTTTTTTTTTTATCCTCACCCGAGGACATTTTTCCTTTTTTTTTTTATTTATTTATTTTTTAATCCTCACCCGAGGATATTTTTCCATTTTTTGTACAGATAGAGTGGGAGGAGAAGAGAGAGGAAGGGAGAGAGAGAGAGAAACATCGACGTGAAGGGACACATCAAGTGGCTGCCACCCGCACGACCAACCAGGGCCGGGGACAAACTGCAACCGAAGTACGTGCCCTTAGCGGGAACCGAACCCGGGTCTCTCCGGACCACAGGCCGACGCTCTAACCGCTGAGCCAAACTGGCCAGGGCCGTACTGTTTTGATTTTAAAAAATAATTTAAAAATGGAAAACGCCGTCCGGCTGGTGTGGCTCAGGGGCTGAGCATCGACCCCATGCATCAAGATGTCGCTGGTTCAATCCCCGGCCAGGACACACGCCCAGATTGTGGGCCTGACCCCCAGTGGGGGGCATGCAGGAGGCGGCCAATCGATGTTCTCGCTCATCAATGTTTTTTTCTCTCTCTCCTTTTCACTTCCTCTCTCTCTAAAATCAATAAAAAAAGGAAAAAAAATTATATATACAAAAAGGAAAAAGCCATTCTTATTTCAAGGACAGGGGCTGTGGTTTGTCAATTCCTGATCTATTGTCATTGTTTTTCTTCTGCGTCACTTTCTGACTGTATCATTTCCCTCTTTGTTGCATCATTTTTTTCCCAAACCTTTCTGCCCTTTCTCTCAACTAGCTGAGGCTCCAGTAGCCTTTGGAGAATCTGTGCTCCTGGCCTCCCTGCAGCTCAGCGGGGAGGCCAGAGTCCCCGCCTCAGAGGCTGTTAGGCCAGAAGCAGAAGGCGTCCCTCTTCTCTTTTCTGTGCCCTGGCTAGTGTGACATACACGTTGGGACTATGAAGGTCACAGATGTGGGTCTGGTTTCTGCAGGGTTCCAAGGCTCTAATGAACAGAACATGCTGGGTGATGGCGAGAGTCGGATTTTTATATAATCAAGGATATTTATATCTTTTAATAGGTTGGTGCCTTGGAGTTCTGTTCCAGCATGAAACTGAGAGTCAGAGAGAAGTCTGGATAATAACTTTGGTGCCATCTCTTAGAACAATAATATATCAGAAGGGGATTCAGGCTGGAGTGGTAACTTGCAATGGAAATGGGGGAATTATAAACATGTTATACTGCTCTATCCTAGCTATATTTAAAATGAAAACACAATGCAGATTTTTATGTGGGGTGTGTTTAAAGGGAGATAATGTGCCCCATATCGTAGGGGAACAAAACCCAGGAGAACACCCTCAGATGTGTCGCTTTGCTGTGGTCTGCGGAGCTGCCCACCGGCCCAGCTCCTGGCGTTCTATTCAGGGCCGTGGAGCAGTGGGGACAACAGAGCTCAGGCCACCTACAGAAAGGGGTTGGTTTGGTTGGTCTGACAGATGCTGTGATTTATGAGCGTGCTTGTTAAGGGACATCTGCTGCTGAGAGCTGCCAGATGAAAGGCAGGCAGGAGGCCGGTGGCAGAGCTCAAGGCATAGGAGGGGGAGGGCTCTGTACAAGGCAGGTAAGGATCATCCGAATGGCATTTAGAATAGTGAGAAGAAATGGTTGACATAGCACAGACCTGGCTCTACTGCTCATTAGCTGAGATCTTAGGTGAGTTGCTTCCCTTTCTTTGAGCCTCCATTTCTTAAAATGGGTATAATAAACACTCTGTCTCTCCCCTACTCTTTGAAATCATACTAATGTAAAAGTCCAAGCAGAGTTCCTGGTGCATAGGAGAGCTCATTAAGTGGAGACATTATCGAAGTTTGTCCATGTGTCCGTTCATTCGTTTATGTGTCAGCATTGATTGTTCTTTGTGATTTCAAATAGAGCCTCCTTTTCAAATAGATGCCAGATGGTGGCTGCGGTAGCAATAGTGTATGTGATCAGAATGGAAGTATGAAACCTTCAACATGTATTTACAGGTATATGTCTGAGCATCTAAATGGCATATAGGAGTGCAGTAGATACCTCAAGTATGATTTAAAATACAGCCATCTGGCCAATGAATACAGTGAAAGATACACCACCTCACTAGTAATTGGGGAAATCACAAAATAAGACCAAAATAAGATATTGCTTCATACTCACCAGATTTGTAAAACATTTTTAAGTCTGACAGTATCAGTGATAAGGAGAATGTAGACAGAGGGAGCTCATATGCATTACTAGTGGGAGTTCAAACTTACATGACTTCTTTGGAAAACGACTTGTCAATATCTAGAAATTTGAAGATGTGCATATCTTATCTACTAACAAAGTTCACTCTTGGGTATAACCAAGAAAGAACCTCCCATGTGCAATCAAGTCCATGTGTTCATAACTGCTTTGTTTTAGCAAACAACCCCATTGCCCATCTTAGTGGGCAACTGTGGTGTCCAACCTTAGTGGGTAATGGATACATGCTCTAAGGGAGCTAAAGTTACATGTGATACCAGCACAGGTGAATTTTAAAACAGTGGTGAGTGAAAAAAAATGAATGCAAACAGAAAACTATTTATATATAGCTTAAAAACATGGAGGACAATATTAATATATTGCTTATGGATGCCTACATATGTAATAAAGTTTAAAGAAGTTATATGGAATGATAAATATTAAATTCAGGGTAGTATTAAGAGAAAAATGAGGGATGTGGTTGGAAAGGTTGCCTAGGGCTCAAATCCCAACTCTGCCATGTACTCACTAGCTGTATACCCTTAGACAAGTTTCTGATCTATAAAATGGAATAGATTACCTAACTCCTAGGTATGCTGTAGGTTAGATGAGTGAGTATAGTTAAAATATTATTCTAGAATAATACCTAGCAGATAGTAAGTGCTGTATAAGTTTTAGTGCATAATAGTAGTATAGTTACAGTCTGTTACTCCTTGGTATATTAGGAACTGTGCTGATAACTTGCTGGGCATTCATTTAGGCATATGAGTGCTATCTCGCAAACAGAGGCCAGGGATGTGGCTACACACCCTGCATTGCACAGGGCAGCTTCTCTCCCCAGCAGAGAAGTATTTGACTCCAAATATCAATAGTGCCAAAGCTGAGAAACTGAGCTAACTACGGGGGGCCAGCAAGTACAATTGTATGAAGCTGGAAGAGATAAGAACCTGTGGTACTTGACAAATAACACTAATGACTACCATACATCCTCAGGTCTAAAAGCTGTCAGGAAGGCCCTTCGGAAGGTGTTTTCCATGATGGAGGTGAACTGTCACTTTGAGGGACCGCCGTGGAATGGGTCTTCTCACAGTCACTCCATCAAAGGGCAGAGGAGAGCGCCGGACTCACCCTGCTCCTTGGCGGGCAGTCTGTCTGGCAGCACTGTCCGCTGTCCGAAGACACACAGTGCAGGCCACAGGTGTCATTTCTAGCATCCACGTTAAGAAAGTTAAAAGGAATAAATGAAATTAAGTTAAGAGTATAATCTATTTAATTCAGTATCTCCAAAAGACTATCATTTCAACACACAATCAATGTAAAAATACTGAGATATTTTACTTCTTTTTTTCCCTCGCCGTCTTTGAAGTTTGGTGTGTATTTTGTATTCGGACCAGCCACACTGCAAGTCCCTGTTTGGCACCTACGACTCGTGGTTACAGTATTGGTTCTGCTCTGGAGGGTTCTGATCCTGGGGCTTAGTGAGGGATTGGCCTTGGTCTCTGCTGACTGGCAGCACTGCTGTCACCCAGAGTTCGGAAGCTGAGAGCAGGGTGTGACTTCTAGGAACATCTGTGCCAGACTGCCCAAGGCGGTCTGCGGTCATAGGAACAAAGGAGCTTGGCTTTCTGTGTGCTCTGTGCCCTCACCTCCTTTCCCGTTTTTCATCGGCAGGTGCCTCGTCTCCAGACATGGAGCCCAGCTATGGGGGAGGTCTCTTTGACATGGTGAAAGGAGGTGCAGGGAGGCTCTTCAGTAACCTGAAGGACAACTTGAAAGATACCCTCAAAGACACATCTTCCAGAGTTATACAATCTGTTACCAGGTATGTGTGTGCTTCCTGGTTGAATTACTGGACCTCCGTGCCCCCAAAGGATCTGGTTACCTGCCAACTGCTTATCTGGCTCAAAGGCTGTCTGTTTTGTGATGTAATTTCATGGGATCTGGTTGACTGAGCAATGTCACTGAAGCCGTAAAGTGGAGTCCTTCAGAAGCTACCAGCAAGGCTGAGAGGACTCAGCTCGTTGGTACATGAGACTACAGTGAGTTGCCATCCCTGACTTTTGAATCCTACATCCTGGGTTCTAGTGCATTATCTGCCCTTGTTTACCATGTGACCTAAGGCAAATTAATTAACCTCTCTGAGCTTTACTTTTATACCCGGGTAGGATTTGTGCCTTTGAGTGTTTGAGAATTATATGAGATAATCACGTTTATGCAATCTGAATAAGCAATACTATCTTAATAGGTCTTTAAAATTTATTTAGTAGAAGAAGTTTTCTACCCTTTCATTGCATGAAAACTTTTACAAGCAGACATGGGAATTTTCTTATATTCTTAGGTATTAGAAAGTTTTAGGATCACTTCAAGTTACAGTGTGCAGTTTTAAATTAGAAATTTAAATGTCAAGTCCAATATATCAAACAACATTTTAATCTTTGTTCAAAAGTAAAATGTATCCCTTACCTCCAAACCCCAACCAGGGCCTGGTAGGCAAAAAAAGGATGTCCTTGGTTCCTTCTCCATCATTTCCTCTCCTGCCCCCTAGCTGCTGACATCTATGGGTGATATTTCCCTGTAGGCAGAGAGCCTGGAAAAATTATTGTTATAAATAAGCATTGTTTACTGAGTGAATTTTGGTAGATGTAAGCTCCTTGGGCTGTCTTCTCTCAACAATGCTCCCTTGTTTAGAGAGAAGGCTTGAAGGAAGTCAAAACATACCAGCTAGAAGCAAATGTCCCTGTTGATGATGGGCAAGTGATTGGGATCACTGTAATGATTGCCCTTTCTTGTCTTGCTTTTAGCTACACGAAGGGAGATTTAGACTTCACTTATGTTACCTCCAGAATTATTGGTAAGTTTCTCATGTTTATTAACTGCTCAGACTCACCTTTCAATTGCTGCTCATCATGACAGCAGACCGTGTAACCTATTTTGTTTCCGTATGACCCTCCAGTGATGTCCTTTCCTCTGGACAACGTTGACATAGGATTCAGGAATCAGGTGGATGACATTCGAAGCTTTTTGGATTCCAGACATCTTGACCACTACACAGTGTACAATCTGTCACCCAAGTCTTATCGAACTGCCAAATTTCACAGCAGGGTAAGGAATTTTAGCTCTGGGGTCACATGGTTGAAGACATAACAGGGTATTTCTCCTCTTAAGAGCTATCCTCAAAGCCTTTGCTCTGTGGCACATGAAGCTGAAAAACTGTACATTCTGGACATTTCTAGCCACAGATTGTTTATTAGGCTTTAATGAGGTATTCTGAAGATTTTGGGGGGGTTCAGATATTTGCAGGAAAGTTTATCTGTCAGTGAAACACTGTCTAAGTAGGGGCCTCAGATCAGTTGTGGTTGGTTGCTCAGCTGTTAGGGTGCATTGCTCTGCGGCTCTGCTGGAGGCTGAACCGGAACTGCTCCATAAGGCGTTGTCTCCCTGTATACCATAATACTGACTATGCCTTGAACCCTTCCTGTTGCTACCTGGGCATCACGATGAGGCAGTGGGGCTAGACCACTACAGACACACTCTTACTGATGGGATCGGCTTTCTGACGTTCAGTAAGAATGCTTCTTTCATAAGTGAGAATAGCACATGAGTAGCCTACACTGTGGGTTTGGCGGTACTGTTACTAATATGAACAGTCATGAGAGCAGCAGCCAACACGGAGCATGTGCTGGGGACTTGACATGCCGGATCTCGCTAAATTCTCTCAGCAGTGCTCTGAGGTAGATGGAGAAACTGAGGCACAAAGAGGTAAGGTAACTTGTCTAATACCACACAGCGAATACTGACAGTGTTACCTGGAAAGCTGGATTGTCTCCCTAAGGAGCTTTTGAAAAAAGGCTGAGAAATAGCCCTAGTTCAGGAGCTATGAGAGCTGACTTTGGTTGGAATCTAATGTCAAGTCTGATATTTCTGGCCACTGAATTCCTTTTTAAAAAAAAATTACATTTATTGGGATAATGGTAGTTAATAATGTTATATGTTTCAAGTATACAATTCTAGAATATATCATCAGTATATTGCATTGTGTGCTCACCACCGAAAGCCTAGTCTCTCTCTGTCACTGAATTCTTGATTTACTTCCCAAGGTAAGGCATTTTTTCTCTCAAGTACATCTTCAAATATTTTTAACATTTTTTCTTTATTGATTTTTTTTTTTTTTTTTTATCCTCACCCGAGGATATTTTTCCATTTTTTGTACAGATAGAGTGGGAGGGAGAGAGAGGAAGGGAGAGAGAGAGAGAAACATCGACGTGAAGGGACACATCGAGTGGCTGCCACCCGCACGACCAACCAGGGCCAGGGACAAACCGCAACCGAAGTACGTGCCCTTACCGGGAACCGAACCCGGGTCTCTCCAGACCGCAGGCCGACGCTCTAACCGCTGAGCCAAACTGGCCAGGGCTCTTTATTGATTTTAGAGAGAGAGGAAGGGAGAGGGAGAGAGAGAGAGAGAAACATCGATGAGAGAGAACATCGATTGGCCGTCTCCTGCATGCCCCCCACTGGGGATTTGGCCCACAACCTGGGCATGTGCCCTGACCGGGAATCGAACCAGCGACCTCTTAGTGCATGGGTTGATGCTCAACCACTGAGCCACAGTGGCCAGGCGCATCTTCAGATATTTTGACTTAGCCTTTAGATATGATTTTTCTGCAACTACATCTGGATCTGTTAATAAATAGAATGGGTTTTCTATACATTGGACCTTTTAAAAGTGAGACTTGATTTCCAATCTGTAAAATGGTAGCGGGTGGTCTGTGTATCTAGGGTCCCAGCTTTGATGCCAGAACACATTTTGCTCCAAATTTCAGTCGCCATTGATAGTCTTTGGGTCTCAGTTTCCAGATCTGTAAAAACACAAGGTTGATCTGTATATTTTCCAAGATTCTTCAGTATTCTTTATTATTCAATATGATAATGGAGGGTTTTGTTAAGGACTCTCTCTTTTCAGAGTATTCCCCAAATAGCAAGAGGTAACCCCGTGGTTCTCAAACTTTAGTGTACATCAGAATCACCTAGAGGGCTTGCTAAACACCCAGGCCCAGCACTGCTGATTCCGCAGGACAGGGGTGTGGTGAGAATCCGCTTTGCAGTTTCCTGGGTGCTACTCCTCTGTTGCCCTGGGGACCACTCCGAAGCAGTTTGGTTTAAGTTGGCATTCTGTAATGGAGATTTTAAATGTAGCTCCTTAAAATTCCCTATAATTAACTGCCCCGCCAACTCTTATTCCATCTATTAACCAATTCAGAGCAAGTGACTTGACGTCAAACAAAAATGTGGGTAGATATTCTGTTTTTAACTCACATGCAAATCTATTAAATCGATTTTTCTTTGTTTGGAGACGAAGTCAGTGCCATCATTTTTCAAACTGAAGGACTGGAACATCCTGCACAATATTTCATAGAAATTTTATTTGGTCTTGAAAGATCTGTGATAGTCTGGAACATTTTCCTTCTGAAAGTAAATAAAGATCTAGTATCATTACAGACGCATTGATACATATGAAGACATCTCTTTGGGTAGTATCTGTAAAAACCGTAACTATAATGACATTTAAAGAGAGGTATCTACTAGTGTAACCACATATTTTGTGAGTAATCTTAACAGTCTCACCAGAGGAACCAGGAATTACATGTTGAACTGACACTGCCCGAGACTGCTCTCACTTGCCTTAAAAGGGCAGGAGGCATGTTTATTTTATTTGATGCCTAGAATAGTGCCCGAGATGGTGGAACGTTTCTCAGACGAATGAAAGTGTCAAGGGCTGTTAAACACATAGATATAAAGTAAATATTTGGTTCTTGTTCTCAAGGCACTTAAGCCTAGTTGGAGAGTGAACCCAGGACATTCTGAAGACAAATGCCAATATTGTGTAGAGTGCCCACGGAGGGAGGCTAGTGAAGGGAGACAGCAGCGAGGGCTGGACCTTGAAGCATGAGGAAGTCTTGTACAGGTGAACTGTGTGGGTCTGTTTCTTTTCCAGGCAAACTGTGGAAGGTGCCTGGTGAGGTTCTTCATGATCTGGCCCCTGCCTGCCTCTCTGGCTTCATCATCCACTCTTCAGAAGCTCCATGCTCCAGCCAGGGGATACACACTTACTGTCTCTTTACATGAGCTGCTGCCTCCCCCTAAAAAGCCACCCATGGCCACACCACCCCCTCCTCTTCTTTGTTAACGTGTCTTCACTAAGGGGAATGTTTCCACAAGGCTTTTGCAATTCTTTCTTCCTAAAGCACAGGACTGCATGATGTGCTTAGCCCTTCACACACAGTCCCGGACTCTGCAGAACAGAACTCGACCCCCTGGCGTAGCTCCTGCAACCCCAGTTGCATGTCAGGTAGACAGTCCCAAAAGCTTGGTGTGTTCATCTTAGCTCTGTTTTTGATGTGGCTTTTTTCAAGCTCTTAGTGCCTCCTCTCCCCAGTACTGACACTGTGTATGAGTTACTTGCTTGTTTTTGCATTGCTTAGAAAAGTTCTTAGTTCTCACCTTCCAGTTCCTGAAGACTAGAACCATTTCTTCCTCTTTTTAGGTCAGTGGAGAGCTAGGTCTGCAATTAAATATCATTTTAATAAGTATATATGGCAGGGAAGTCCATAAATACCAGTGTTGGAAAAGACTGAACAGGAGATTAGTTTTATTTGTCGACTCACAGGCATCCAGCTCTTTCTTTCTCTTTGTGTCTTAAAACCTGAACTCAGTCACGTTACATTTTTATTCCGTGATGTGTGTTTGGGGATGCGGGTGGTAGGGGCAAAGACTAGCTGTTTCTAGGAGGACTTTATTTGCTTAGGGGTGTCATTCTACATTTTTATTAGCTTTCATGCTTAGAAATCATATGGGTTGACAGGAATTATATGCAATAATCAAAAAGCAGTTTTCTTAGTGTTTGCCTATGTAACAGAAAGTTAAAAGAGGACTCTGTTTAGTCTTATTAGCAGAAGGTTCGCCTCAAAACAGCCCGTGGAAGCTGTTGGTCCTACATTTGAAGTGAGGTGCTGGAATACCTTTGAGAACTACAGAGGAGCCACTAAAGGCCAGTGTTTAACCCTTCTAAGCCAGTACCCGCCTTACGGAAGTAAAAAGTACCAACGCTGACAGTAGAGTCCTGGAAACGAATGAGATGCATCATCTAAACCAGATGTTCTTCGTCTGAGTTCAAAAGACAGGGGTCCACTGTGTATTTAGATGCATGGATGGGCATCAGAGAGTTTAAGCATCTGCTTCCACTTCAGTTTTTAAATTATAATTGTGGAAAAATATGCATGGCATAAACATATCATTTTAACCTTTTGTATGTGTACTAATTGGTGGCATTAAATACACTCACCAAGTTGTGTTCTCCTCACCACTATGTATACATACACCTTTCCTTCATCATCCCCCAAATAAACACTGTACCCATTCACTCCGGGTATATATTTGTGTGTACACTGGTTGAGTTTCTGCACAGATGGTTTATAGCTGTGCCCCAGAATAGCAAGAACCACTGCTTTACCCAGTCTGCTATTATCAGTAAACGGGACCCGGGATAAACGGCCAGCCGATCTAGCCTGGCTCTAAAGGTCTACCAGCCTGACTAATGCCTTTTTTTTATCCTCACCTGAGGACATTTTTGGATATTTTGTTCAGATAGAGTGGGAGGGAGAGAAAGAGAGAGAGAGAGAGAGAGAGAGAGAGAGAGAGACAGAGAGAGAGAGAGAGAGACATCGATGTGAAAGGGACACATCGAGTGGCTGCCACCCGCACAACCCAACCAGGGCCGGGGACAAACCGCAACCGAGGTACATGCCCTTAGTGGGAATCGAACCCGGGTCTCTGGGGACCGCAGGCCGACGCTCCAACCCTGAGCCAAACAGGCCAGGGCCTGACTAATGCCTTTTTAGTGCCTCTTTGAGCTGCCTACCTCTGCCCAACCAGGAAGGAAGACAGCTGTTAGTAGCATGGAAAGATAACCCAGCTACTTCTTTTAGACTCTCCCTTTGTTTTGACTCTTTCCAAACCACAGGGTCTGGTAGGATTTCTTCCCTTTTGAAAACAACTTGATTTTTAGGAAACACATGATCAATTTGGGCTTCTTTAAGAGGTCATGATTTTTTGTAGGCAAACCTTTTCCTTTTCCTTCCAGAGTTCACCAAAGCTCCCATTGTTTCTGCTTTGTTTTGCTGGGTGGTGAGGGGTCGCCATGGAGGGGCGAGGCTTCATCTTGCCCCCTGCCAGCGTGCATCAGTGTGCGGACAGGACGGGGCCGAAAGGGAGCCCCGCACTGGAGCTCGGTGCGCTTCGGGGAATTGAATGTCCTAAATGTGGTCAATTATGGCCATTCCATGCAGCCGCACTAATGTAAGATGGAATTGTAGTAAATATTCATTAGACAGCATGGTATAATAGAAAGCACACACATTTACTATTTCATTGAGGTAAAGTGTATATAATACACATACATTTGAAACCTTAGAAATTACCCTAGGTTCCTGTCTCAGCTGTTCCTCTTCCTGGGCAAGTTACTGTCCATCGCTGGAGACTCAGCTGTCTCCTGTATAAAATGGGGATGACCACAGGAATACCTGGCTCACCAACACTTAGAACATTTTCTCTAGGTTTGCTTAAGAAATGAAGTTGATAGCAGTGTCTGATGCAGAGTAAGCGTTCAGTCAGTGGTAGCCGTGACTAACACGGGTGATAATAACATGCCACAGTCGAGGATTGCCCGAAATATCCGTCCTCCAGAAATGGCTTCAGATTCTGAAAACGCCAGATATGGCTCTTCAGCCTGACTTTCCGCAGCATCTTCTGCTGTGCTGCTCTGCAGACAGGATGCGTGTGCCATCTTATCTCGTGTTTGGGCAACAGACAAATGAAAACTGCGTGGCACCCAGCCCGGGTTCTGTTTTGGCCTCTTTTCCCACTGGGTGGCACCATGGCAGCCTTGTAATCCTTATGGTGTTCTCGGAACACCCGGGAGGTGTTCAAAGGGGCTGGAGATGACACAGTGGAGTGTCACTTGCCCTAAGACAGTGTTGACTGCACGAAACTGTGAACCCCAGAGAAAGAGAGAGAGAGGAGAAAAATAACCTGCAGTGATGGAACTCCTTTTAAAAATGTTTTGCATTTGTTCATGCTTCAGTGTTTTTTCCCCTTTAGACAGAGCACATGCTTTTAAAAAATTCTAATTGTATGTTTGCTTAATGATGTACAATTATATATCAAGTAAATATGTAATTATAGGGCACTTTAAATTGATATTATTTACTTGATTGATTTAATTATTCTGGAGCTATTAGCCTATTGTGCTAAGAATAATTTGGCCAACTTTTAGCTGAGACTCATCATAGATAGTGACAGTGTTTGTGTGGGTGACATACATTTTCTAAAAGGTTTAAAATATTGCCTGGGAAAACAAATTTCCTACACTTTTACATAGTTGCGATCTAAAGAAACAACAAAATGGATTCACCCGTTTCTTCCCCCAAATATTGCACATGGAAACAAATCTTAGTATAAGAAGAGATTGCCAAATGGGGCTCATTTTTTCGCTCATTCATTCACTCAGCAAATACCGACTGAGCACCTGCCATTCAACTAGCCCATGCACACTGGATTCGGGTTGCAAAGATGAGTCAGTTATGGTCTCTTCTTGTGGAACTTAGTGTCTAGACGGGAGACAAACATAAACAGCTAATTTGAATACAGCTTGATAATAAACTGGCGCTTACTGTTTACTTCATTGTGCTGCTAAATTCTCACAACAATTTGTAATGCCCATTTTCACTTTACACAAAAGAGAATTGAAGCTTAGAAAGGCTAGCAAGTTTAATTAGGTGGTAAGTGGTAAAGCCAAGGAGACAACTCAGCCTGTGGGCTTACACATGTTGCTCTTCTATGGGTTGCCCAAGATGAACATGGACAGGGGCCTGGGTCCAAAGAAGATGTCGACTAAACCTTTCCTACTAAACGTTTCTGCCTGCGGGTGTGCTAGAGGCAGGAGAGCACTTGAACTTGGGTTTTGAATGATGAATAGAGCTTTACCAGGGAAGAAAAAAAACTGGGGACAGGAAGCAGCTGATACAAATGTACATTTTGTAATTCCTCTGATGGCAAAATTTATCCTCCCAGTTATTTTTTTTAAAATCAGTATATCATCTCCATTCTGTAAGATGACATCAATGGGAGCCTATTAGGGGGATAAAAAATGGGCCAGAAACAACTCTGAATCATGTTGGGTGACAGGGACAGTGTGTTACGGAGTTTAAATCAACAAAGGCCCGATCCTGCGTGACCCTCCGTTATTTGTTAGCTATGTTGAGCATTTCAGCTACTTTGTTTAATAAACCACATCTGTCATTCCCAAAGATATAGAAGAATGGGTAATCCCTGCCACTACCCCATAATCATCATGTAGGAAAAAAGCTACAAATTGACAGAAAAGAATGCCCCAGAGAGAACCATCACGCGTTTGCTTTCAGATGTCAGCTTTACGGAGACCACATATAATTTTCCATTTATTTTTTGAGTGGTTATTATCTGGTTTCCAGAAAAGGCCAAAGCAAACAGCTGGCTCCTACTTCCCTGCTCCACTGTTCAATGGTAAGAATTGGAGACATCTGGGTTTTCTTGGGCCAGTGGTACTGGTGGTGTGGAGTACTTTCTGATGACACCACACAAAACCTATTCTTTCTTCAGAATTCCTTACACAGCAAAAGGCACCCGCTCCCATTCTTTTTGTTGTTGTTGTTAATCCTCACCTGAGGATATTTTTTCATTGATTTTTTTTTTTTTTTTTTTAGAGAGAGTGGAAGGGAGGGTGGGGGAGAGAGACAGAGAGAGAAACATCCATGTGAGGGAGACACATCCATTGGTTGCCTCCCGCATAACACCAACCAGGGCTGGGGATCTAACCTGCAATCCAGGTATGTGCCCTTGACCAGGAATTGAACCCATGACCCTTCGGTCTGTGGGGCAACAATCTAACCACTGAGCCGAACTGGCCAGGGCCCCGTTCTTTTATCCAGCCATTCACGCTGGAAGCCTGGCATCATCCTTGGCTCTTCCCCCCATTGCGCTCTTAAGTACACCCCTTCGCACTCTGCACTGCCGCCACGGGACCAGTCCCCTGCTCTGTGTATAGGTATTCCACTTCCTCTTCTTTTTAATTGAATTTATTGGCGTGGCATTAGTTAAAAATAGTATGTAGGTGTCAGCGGTACAATTCTATAATACATCATCTCTATATTATATTGTGTGTTCACCACCCCAAGTCACCACCTTCCTCTTTACTTCTCAATCCTGGAAGCCTTTTGCTCCCCGCTGCTGCTGTCAAAGCCTTGGCCACCCCCAGTCCTCATTTGTATCCCCAGCAGCCCCTTACTGGTCTCTCTGACTACTCTCACGTCATCCACATCTATTTCCTGTGTTGGGTCTTGAGGATTCTTTGGAAAATGCAGGTCTGAGAGTCACTCTTTTTAAGAAAAATACTTCTCCCAGCTCCTATCAAGGCCTTGTATGTATGAGCTGACCTCCTTCCGTCTACACTTTTGCCATACAGGGTTTCATTCTTTTTTTTTTTTCAAGCATTTTTGGCTCTATCTGACCTCAGGGCTTTGCACTGGCAAGTTACCTGACACAACAATATTAATAGCTACATTTATTGATCACTTTGTGTGTCAGGTACTGAGCTAAGCCCTTGAAATACATTCTCATGTAGTACCCCCAACCGTGTCAGGTAGGTAGGTAGGTATCATTTACCACATTTTACGAAGAAAGGCTTGTATATAATTTTATTAACCAATGTCACTCCAACAAACTCAATAAGAAGTAAAAGAAAAAAAGAAAGGCTTAAAGAGGTCACAAAGTTTGCCCTAGTCTAAGCTTCTCTTTAGTATTCATTAGTCATATTAGTGAATATCTAATCAATTGAGGCTGATGCCTAGTATTTTGAGGGAAGTAACAACCTCAACCATTACACTGTTGTCGCACAATGATTTCTAGTCAGAAGACCAAGTTGCAGTGCTGGTACCGGCCAGCAGTGTGATTTTAGATAAGACAACCTCTGAGAGTCCTTTTCGCATCTGCACAAAGCGGAGCAGATCAGTGCCTGTCTTACATGATTGCTGTACAGATCAGAGCCGAGCAGAACAGTCAGCGCTCTGCAATGTGGTAAATGAGTATGTGTGTCAGGTTAATAACGTTGCTGAAGGTTGGTCCCATGGAGTTGTGGGTCCTTCATTAAAAGAGAGAAATAAGAACCTTGTACAAGGTTTGGCTTACACAGCTGCACTTTTCATGTACTCATGAGAGCTGGTATAAAGTTAAAAATAGTGCAGGATTTATAAGATAAACCTATAATTAAACATCTAGTAGGCAGGTCAAAACATTTTGTACTTAGTAGAAATTAAATTTGGAGCTTTGTGCCATGGGTAGTATTAGAGACAATGAAATATATCTGCGACGAAATTATTGCTAATTGAAATAAAATTTTGGATAACCTCACAGAATAATAATAAAAAAAAAATCCAAATATGTAGTTTAAAAGGTCTCGCTGAATTTAAAATGTATTTTAAAATGTATTTTAAAATGTGTTTTCATACCCTGATGATGGATAAAGAATTTTTTAATGAAAAAAGATTGCTGGATTAAAGAACTCTTCTTTCTGTGAATGGACTGTTCTCAGCTGTTCCTGGCTGTATTAACAGAGGATCGAGTATCACTTCCAGAAGCAGTGGTTCGGTGTTGTACCTGCTGATGGCGAGGAAGTCGCTACAGGGAGTCATTTCCTTTTACTGTGCTCCCGCAGGTTTCAGAATGCAGTTGGCCCGTGAGGCAGGCCCCCAGTCTGCACAACCTCTTTGCTGTGTGTCGGAATATGTATAACTGGCTACTACAGAACCCCAAGAACGTCTGTGTTGTCCACTGCTTGGTGAGTGACCTTTGTTGTTGTCATTGTCTGTGGTTGTTTGGTAGAGTTAGGTCACAGACAGCTGGCCCTGTGCAGACTGATGAGCACGTAGCCCTTAAGCTGAATGATCATTTATTGATATGCTGCTTAGGAATTAGATGATCTGAAGGATATAAAAATGAGGAATGACATTATTATTCTTTTTTTTTTTTTTTTGTTCAGACAGAGCGGGAGGGAGAGAGAGGAAGAGAGAGAGAGAGAGAAACATCAATGTGAAGGGACACATCGAGTGGTTGCCACCCGCACGACCAACCAGGGCCGGGGACAAACTGCAACAGAGGTACATGCCCTTAGCGGGAACCGAACCTGGGTCTCTCTGTACCACAGGCCAACGCTCCAACCGCTGAGCCAAACCGGCCAGGGCGACATTATTATTCTTGCCTTAAAATGTGAGTATTAGTGAGAGGCAGATATGTACACACCCCACATCATACAGGGCCTCTAGAATGTGCTAAGTATTATAAAAGAGGTAGAAATAAGAGCTGTAGGTGCGAGGTGAAGATGCCATTGAGCTTGCGTGAATAAAGTTGCCATAAACACATTGGAATATTTATTTTTTCTTATTTTTAAAAAATATACTTTTTTCAATTACAATGTATTTATTCAATTACAGTTGACATACAATATTGTATTAATTTCAGGTATACCATATAGTGATTAGGGATTTATATAACATGTAGTGATCACCCTGATAGGTCTAGTACCCATCTGATACCATGCATAGTTATTACAATATTACTGACTATATTCCCTGTGCTTTCCTTATGTTTTATGTTTGAATACAAATGAAATTAAGAAAACACCCATGTCCTTATAAACAGTCACATAAAATATTGACGGTATTTTACAACAATTCCCAGTAGGACTGATGACTTTGCTGACCACTGACTTTATAGTGCCCCTTCCTCTAGCCCCTTTTCCGGAGGCCTTACCTATTGTTTAAAACTCTAATTTTCAGTAAAACCATTTTGACTCTCGAGTATTTTCACAGTGGGGACATTCCCACTGTGTATCTAAATGGCTTCTGTGGCATTCCATGCATCATCGTATGGGTGAGTTCCCTATTGTCCCACTAGACTATGAGCATCTTACAGGCAAGAACTGTGTCTTCTTCACATATGCACCCCAGATATGAAGGATTTGAATAAGTGATGAATATGTTTATGACAACATAAACAAATGAATATACAAATGGAATCTGAGCATGAATACTGGAACTATTCACTGCTTCTATAAACTTCAGGGTATATATATTGTTACCAAGATTTTACTTGATGATGCGCCCCCTTCTTCTTGAGAGCCAGTTGGCTAAGAGGGGAAAAAAGTGGAACAATTTTTTCTTCCTTCCACTTCAAATACTTAACTTTTAATATAAAACTTAAGAAAAATGTTAAAGGACCTGCATGGCAGATGAAAGGAGGGGGCCTATATTGAAGCACCTTAAGCATGTTAAAGGAGTGTCTAGAAGACTAAATTCTAAAAAAAATTAAGGTTGAGAAAAATGTCTTTTTAAAAGAAAAATGTCCTTGGAATAAGGACAACAATAAATGCTTGAGGCACATACTATAATCTGACCTTAACTCCTTTATTCTGCTCCTTTATCAGGGGAGCCGATGTCAAGCTAGAAAGGGAGTGGCAATAACTAAGACAAAGCTGGTAGGTAGTGAGAGAGTAAAAGAGCCTCACAGTATGGAGCAGCATCCACTCTCTCGACTTAAATTCTGAGGCAGAGTGCCGAAGGCACTAGGAGAGCAGTTATGGATCCCTTACGTAACACGAAGGACCTGGAAGAGGAGGTGCCAGGCGAGCAAAGACAGTTTCCAAGAGACAGGAGAGTGGTCCTGGACAGTTACAGTTCAGGCGAAATTCTCATGTACATTTTTGCACAGGTGATTTTCAACTGTTAGAAAAAACACCAAAAAGTTATTCATTATGAACACACATTTCAAGCCAATTGGACTTTTTGCAACAAGACGAATAGGTTAGTAGAAATGGTTTATTGGATTTCTGCAAGATATTTACCAGTTCCTTTAATCAAGGTGGAGAAACTTGGGCTAGGTTGTTATACATTTAGTGAAATTGTGTTTGAATATCTGCCTCCAAAGGTAGATGATTAATAGATCAGCAGCCTCCCAAGGTTGCATTTGGTTGCCCTTTTAATTAACATTTTTTATGGCAATATGGAGATCAAACGTATCCGTTTTCTCAGATTGGGAGACTCATATAATGCATCTTGATTTAAAAGTTTTTGGAGGTTGGTCGTTTAACAGAAACTATGTTAAGTTAAACTCAGGACAAATATACAGTCTTGAATTCTGATTCTAAAATATTGAATATACTTGTCTATTAGCCTAATCATCATCTGAAGAAGAACTAGGGTTTTAGTGGATAAAAAGATCAGTCAGAGCTTATGGTGTGATTTAGCTTGCATTTAAACTAATTTGGCTTGGGGTTATGTTAATGAAAGTCCTGTGTCCATACTAAGGAAGATGATACTTCCTCTCTAGTTTGGTTAGAGCACATGTCATAGCTTACATTTCACATCTGGGCAGCACATTTAAGGTGGTTATTTTAAAACTGGAGTCTTGCTCAGAGGAAGTACGCCAAATGATGATGTTTCTTAAAATGGAATTATCAAATGAGGAAGAATTGAAGGGACTGTGTATTAGTCAGGAGTCAGGGTTCTCCAGAGAACCAGAACCAATGTACTTCTATCTATCTATCTATCTTATCTGTCTGTCTGTCTGTCTGTCTAATCTATGTGTGTATGTGTGTGTGTGTGAGAGAGAGAGACATTTATTATAGGAATTGGCCGACGTGGTTATGGGGCTGCCCTCTGCAAGCCGGAGAACAAGGAAAGCCAATAGTATAACTTACTCTGTGTCTGAAGGCCTCACAACCACGGGGGCTGCCAGTGTAAGTCCAGGAGTCTGAAGGTTCCCAGGCCAGGAGCTCTGATGTATGAGGGCGGGAGAAGATGGCGGTCCCAGCTCAAGAAGAGAGAGAATCTTCCCTTCATTCACCTTTTGTTGTTTGCACCCTCAAAAGATTGGGTGATGCCCCCTTCCTTTCGATGAGGGCACATCTCTTTACTGAGTCTATTGATTCAAATGCTCCCTCCTCCAGGAATCCCCTCGCAGACACCCCCCAAAGTAATGTTTGACCAGCTGTCTGGGCGTCCCTTAGCCCAGCCAAGTCGATACATAAATGAACCATCACGGACTGGGTATGTGATTGGAAAGTAAAAGTGTTGATGGAAAGGGAGGGTATTTCAGATATGTGAAGGCTGTCACAGGGGGAAAGAAATCAGTCTACTCTTGGTCCTCCCAGAAGGAAGAAGGAGGATCATTGAGTGGCATAGACTTCAACTCAACACATGCAGTCTAAGGAAGAACTTTGTAAACTGGACTGGTCTACTCCACGTTGCAGTAAGCTCCCTGTCACTTACAGTGTTTTAGAAGAGGTTGGTCACCATCTGTCAGGAATGTCACTGTATATGTTCCTCCATTAAATGAGGTTGAATCAGGTGAAGCGTCTTCTGTATGACTTTATATGAATATAGGAGCATATATTATGTGAAATATATGCAGAGCATATTCCAAAATGCTGTATTTATCTGACCTGTGAACTCTGCCTCCAGCCCTAAACCAAGAGACTTCAACTGTTAGTTCTGAAACCACAAGTCCAAAGTTACTTTGAAGATTAGATTATTTTCCAGTGAATATATGCAAATCAAATGTATAATGTTGGGTTTCTTAGGTTAGGGAGGGTCAGTTTCATCCTAAGAATAAGTCTTTCCTTTTTGCTTTGTGAGTTAAAAAGCTGGGACTGAGTTTGGTTTTCAAGGAAGCAATTTTGAACTGACAGGCATGCCCAGTTCAAAGGATTTCTTTCTTCTCTCCCTCCCCACCCCCAACTCCTCTCTTTTAATGGCAAGTACAGCCATTCTCTGTGGAGAGTGGCTGAATGGACCATGTTTATGACAAGTTAATGCATTTTCTTTGGCAGGATGGACGGGCAGCATCGTCAATTCTGGTTGGTGCTATGTTCATTTTCTGTAATCTCTACTCTACTCCTGGCCCAGCTGTTCGATTGTTGTATGCAAAACGACCAGAAATCGGACTTTCACCATCCCACAGGAGGTCAGTCCTCTAGGTGCAGAGTAAGTGCAGATACTACAGCATTGGTGTCATGTACTTAAAAAACACACACAACCTTTTTAGGTAATTGACTTATTATCTTCTCTTTAGTTACAGTTTCTTCTTTTCTCTTACTTAAATTGCATCTCCTTACCTCTTTTTTTTTTTTTTTGGATTAAAAGTGCTTCTGATGATAACAGTGTAAAAATTTTCCATTGTCAACCTTTAACTGCTAAATCTAATCTTCTAGATCAAATAAGACTAGATGTTCAAATATTGAGCTAGAATCAAGCTCCCGCAGCGTTTTCATTTAGTAAGTGCCCCTTCACCAGTTCTTTGGGGGAAGCACAACAGCGTCCCTAGATCAAAGCTTTCCTAAATTATTGGCTGCATTCTCTTTTGCTAGTTCATATTAAATAAATTAGCATTGTACATTTTTATTGTAAGTTCGTACTTTACAAAAACAAACATCCTAGCAAAGACCGATGGCTTCTTTCTTCTGGTGTGGTGAGCACCAACAGAATGACAATCTTCTGTTTTAGGTACCTGGGCTATATGTGTGACCTCCTAGCAGAAAAACCCTACCGTCCTCACTTCAAGCCTCTCACGATCAAGTCGATCACTGTCAGTCCAGTCCCTTTTTTTAACAAACAGAGAAATGGATGTCGCCCTTACTGTGATGTACTGATTGGAGAAACCAAAATATATACAACCTGCACAGACTTTGAACGAATGAAGTAAGTCATGATACTTCACTTCTTCTTGTGAATTGCTCCATTCTTCTGTAAGTTGGATCATATTCTGCCTATGAGGACTATGTCATTGTGAAATGACTGCTATAAAAAGATGTTTATCATAGATGGTAAGCATAGAAAAGCACAACTAAATCAAGGGATGGCATAGCCCCCTTTCAAATGGTGAGACAAGCTAAGGGACTAACATGAGGTATAATGAAGGTTAAAACACTGGTATGGGATAGAGGACCTGGGTACTTAAAAAAGGGGTGACCTGGATGAGATTTGGTGAGCATAAAGGAAGAGTCAGGGATGAATGAGGTTTCTAGGTGGATGGTGATATAATTAAAGACCTTCCAGAATCTCTGAGAAAGAGCAAGCTGCCAGTGAGAGGTGATGGGGGTGTGGAGAGAAGGCTGTGGATGGTAACATGAAGTGAAATTAGTTTGGAATAGATTGAATTTGAGGATAAGTATCCAAGGCCCTCACAGAGCATTTTATTGCTGTTTCTGTACTGATCTCGGTTGGACTTTTTGTTCCCTCCATCTCTGTTTAACTATTAACTTGAAGATATAGAAAGGCTGATATATCAGGGCTAGATGTATTTGAAGAAAATGAGATCTGCAAAGTAGGGATGGTGATCATTTATCTAGAAGTCCAAATAGGATGGGGAGAGAGGCCGTGGCATCAGACCAGTGCCATCCCAAGGCAGAACCAGTTGGCACCCAGTTGGCACGGGCTGTGCTCCTAGTTTGCGCCTGGATCCAGGCCTAGGCCAACAGGTCCCTTGGCCAGAGCCACAGGGGTCTACACCTGTGCTGTTGTACCAAGTTGGACTCTCTTTCATGTATGTTTCTGTGTGTGTTTAAAGAGAATACCGTGTCCAAGATGGGAAAATCTTCATTCCCTTGAGCATCACTGTGCAAGGAGATGTGGTCGTTTCCATGTATCACTTGAGGTCAACCATCGGGAGCCGGCTACAGGCCAAGGTATGGTTTCATGGCATAAGCTCCTCTGAGCCTTCAGTGGGAGTATTTCAGTCTTTCTTCTACATCACTTAGGGCTTGAGTGTGTTATGGTTTTAGAATCAGAAGGAACTGTTAAAGATTGCTTATGTCCATCTTCATTTACAGGGGCGGGAACTGAGACTCAGAGACTTTGTTAGAAGGTGGCAGCCTGAGACTTTCTAGTCAACCTTGCATTTTAGTAGCTTGTGCTTTTTTGCAGTGTCCCATTTGGGTCAGCACGCGGGGGGTTATTTCTATTAAGGATGTGGGATTAAGTGATTCTATTTTTGCAATTTTCTTGTTATAATAAAATTCACATAACATAAAATTTACCCCTTTAAAGTATATAATGTAGTTGTTTTTAGTATTTTCAAAGGATTGTACAACCATTAGGACTGTCTAAATCCAGAACATTATCATCACCCCCCCACAAGAAACCCTGTTTCCATTAACAGTCACTGCCCAATCTCCTCCTCCACCCTCTAGGCAACCACTAGTCTACTTTCTGTCTTTATGGATTTGTCTACTTTGGACATTTCATATAAATAAAATCATACAATATATGATCTTTTGTTTTTTTTTGTTGTTGTTGTTTGTTTTTTTTTATCCTCACCCGAGGAAATTTTTTCCATTTTTTGTTCAGGTAGAGTGGGAGGGAGAGAGAGGAACAGAGAGAAAGAGAGAGAAACATCGATGTGAAAGGGACACATCAAGTGGCTGCCACCCGCATAACCGACCAGGGCCGGGGACAAACTGCAACCTAGGTACATGCCCTTAGCGGGAACCGAACCCGGGTCTCTCCGGACCGCAGGCCGACGCTCTAACCGCTGAGCCAAACCGGCCAGGGCCAATATATGATCTTTTGTGACTGGCTCTTTTCACTTAGCATAATGTTCTCGAAGTTTGTTTATGTTATAGCATGTATTAGTACTTCATTCCTTTACGTGGCCAGATAATATTCCATTATACGAGTATACCACCTTTTATTAATCTCTTCATCAGCTGATGGTCATTTGGGTGATTGCCACTTTTTGGATATTACTACAAGTAATTGCATTGCATTTCATCAAATATTTGCTAAGTACATGCTCTGTGCCAGTCGTTGCCTAGGGGTATAGGCCTGAGAAGAATAAGACTGTGTCCCTGCCTCTAAAAAACTTAGCCTAGCCCAGCTGGTGGGGCTCAGTGGGTTGAGCATCGTCCCATGGACCAGCAGGTTCCAGTTCAGTTCCTGGTCCAGGGCACACGCCCAGGTTGTGGGCTCAATCCCCAGTAGAGGGCGTGTGGGAGGCAGCCAATGGATGTTTCTCTCTCACATGGATGTTTCTATCTCTCTCTCCCTTCCTCTCTTTCTAAAAAAAACAATCAAGAAAAAACAAAAACAGCCCTGGCCGGTTTGGCTTAGCAGTTAGTGCGTCAGCCTGTGGTCCAGAGAGACCCGGGTTCGGTTCCCGCTAAGGGCGCGTACCTCAGTTGCAGTTTGTCCCCGGCCCTGGTTGGGTCATGCAGGTGGCAGCCACTCGATGTGTCCCTTTCACTTCGATGTTTCTCTCTCTCTTTCTTCCTCTCTCTCCCTCCCACTCTATCTTAACAAAAAATGTTCTCGGGTGAGGATAAAAAAAAAAAAAAAAAGAATAAAACTTAGCCTAGCAGGGGAAATTCACACTTTTTTAAATGTCCATATTAGAGGTAGGATTAGGGGCTACATTAGGAGCCATTTGCTTTAGCCAGTGGTGGCCTGGAAAGGCTGTGGAGGGGCTGTGAGCTTTCAAGGCAGGCTGTGGAGGATGTTTATCAGGCTGGAGGAGGGCATGCTGGGTGAAAGGAGTGGAATGAGCAAGTGCGGCCGTGTGCAAGAACGTGGGACTGGGGCAGACGAGGAGATGGCTTACCCAGGCAGAGTTCATGGAGAGGCTAGAAATGAAGCCACGCCTGTTCCAACTGGGAAGGTCATTTAATATTCCCAGCATAAAAAAGGTTCAGACTTTAGAGACAGTTGGAGGTGCGTGGCTCCTCAAAATATCATCTTTTGCTCTGATTCCCTTTGCACCGAGACATTGTAATGTGCTTCTGTCCTGTATTTCAGGTGACCAACACTCAAATATTCCAGCTTCAGTTTCATACTGGATTCATACCACTGGAAACAACAGTTTTAAAGTTCACCAAGTGAGTGCTGCTTGGGCCGAAAGCTCTTTTCAATCCGAGCAGCTGGGAGGTGCTGGGAGCGGTTGCTCAAGGCTCATTAGTGCTGCGCAGGGTCCCTGAATCTGCAGGACTGTTGAGCGTAGCTTAGCAATGCAGGGAGGCTGGTGTTTTGATTTGTCTTGAACACAAATGGTTGAAGGGACTTCTGATCCTAAAATTCCAGGTGAAGGAACGAGGGGAACAAAGTATCAGTGCTGTGATCCTTTGCATCTGTGTATCCCTTTGTGTTTTCAACAGGATGGCAGTTTCATCAGTGGTAGTTAATGAGCCATGGCCCTTCAGAATGGATGCCAGGCCACAGCACTGAAGCAGGGTTCTGAGAGACCCCCTTGCATCAAGCACTAACGCTTAGTTGTTGTATAATAGTGTGGTCTAGAGAACTCGGGGGTGGCTGAAGCTGCAGTTGCTGGGTCAGGGTAAGGGTCGACATTCAAGAGCTCAGGGTGGTGGCCTTGGGCCTATTTCACTATTGTAATAACAGATTTGGTCGTGCTGGTGCATACGGGCTGTATATATCACCCCTGCTTTCTGGAATGCTCTCACATGTAGTAGTAGTCAAATTCTTTGGATAGGCATTATTCTCCTCTTTTCTCTAGGAAACTGAGGCTCAGACAGGTAAAGTAACTTATCTGGTTAATGATTGCTCCAGAGTTAACCTAGCAGTGAGCCTCTAGTGGTTTCTGTGCTGAATATCATACCGGTTCCATTGTTTCTCACTGATCTTATTCTTTTACTTTCCCATTTAGGCCTGAGTTGGATGCATGCGATGTACCAGAAAAATATCCTCAGCTATTTCAGGTGACTCTGGATGTAGAATTACAGCCCCACGATAAAGTGATAGACTTAACCCCACCGTGGGAACATTACTGCACAAAAGATGTCAATCCCAGCATCCTCTTCTCCTCTCACCAGGAGCATCAAGATACTCTGGCCTTAGGAGGTAGGAGTCACCTGATGGTTTTGTTTTCAGCAGGAATCCTCAGTGTTCTTATCACATTGACTTATTGCCTGTGTTTCATTGATGCTGCATGGCCTTTTGTCTTGCAGGACAGGCTCCAATAGACGTCCCTCCAGACAACCCCAGGCACTTTGGGCAAGGTGGCTTCTTTTCCTCTCTCTGTTGGCAAGGTACTTCTAAGCCTTTCTTTAAGTTACATGGATAGGTGATGATTAGTAAAAATGGTTAGTTCTCAACACAGCCTAAAGTAAAGCAGCACTTAGAGGTCATCCACATTCCTTCTTACTTGACACTCTCTTGGCTTGTTCCTTTTTCAGATCAGGCAGCTTCCCTACTTTCAAGTCCATAAATGCTCTGAGACGGATGTAAAAGGCTATTTTAAGCTGAAGGGTACCTTTTCTCTTGATGCAGTATTTTGGATCACATTTTCCCTGGGTTTACAAATTAGCACGTTATTTTGTAGGTTCTTCCTTGACTCTGCTGACACACAATGAACTCTCTCTCCTACACTCAGCTAAATATTCTAAAACGATAAAATTCGACATTTCCCCCAGAGGGCTCTAACCATTAGTGGGGCAGAGCTGAGCTTCCCCTGGTGCAGGGAGGGCAAACGCTTTGCCCATGTGCCTCTGCTGCTTGCTTTAACAACCATGGCAGAGACCGGGCTCTTGGTACCCTTTTCTGCTGAACCTGGAGATGTTTCAGAATCTTTCTGACATAATACTTCAGATGGCTGCCATTAGTAGACTGGCACTGGCATTCTGATCAATACCCATCTGCCATCTTGTTACCCACTGGGGTCCTTGGGTTACCCAAGATGGAAATCAAAAGGAACCACCCAACACATTTTATTAGACGCGCAACTGGTGCGAGGGAGACAGCATGCAAGGACAGGGTTCCTGACTGGCTCCCCGAGTGGCTTTGTTGGGTTATTTTTAATAGGCTGTGGAAAAGCTGGGCAAGGCATGGAGTTTATTGTACGTCAGGGCCGGACCACTGCCTGTTCCTTTGAGTTGCTTAGCAGTGATCTCTGTGCCTGTTCTGTGAGGGCAAGACGGCCGCGTGGCCCACTGCGACCCTGGGGAGGCTGTACAGGGGGCAGCCTTTGGCGAAAAAAAGCGTTCGTCGAATCCATTTGAATTGAAAGGCTTACATTCAGAAATAGGACCCATGACATTTGAGAAAAGGAGAACTCGGGGAAATCTAGATAGCAGGTAGGCGTCCCAGCTCTCTCCTGGTTTCCCCCAAACTTACCTTTCTCACCTAAGGGCTTTCAGTAACACTTCACGTTTGCCTCTCTACTGCCATTTCAGTAAGTAATTTAGAAATCATCCCTGTTAGGCTCCTTAGTAAGTTTTAGCACAAATGCACGATTTCTTTTCGTAGCTTGGCAGAGCCAGAGGCGTTCGGGAAGGCAGAATTGTGTGGCGTTTAGAAAGCTGCCATGGGACATGCACCGTGTATGACTTAGTTCTTCCAGCGACATCGACCACAGCTTGTGATCACACATGAACATTTCTCTAATGCAACATAAAAAGAATGACTCTGAGTGAAATAAATGGAAACTAAAAATATTTTCACATCAGCTCTGGTCATATTTTTGTGCCAAGTGAGTTTGCACCACACTTAGGAAACCCTTTCCCTTTCATAGCTTGTTGCCTTTCAGAACTGTGGACCAGGGATGTGGATCTGGACCTAATGTGGGATGTGGATCTGTCTGACACTAAATATGAGGTCCCGTAGGAGGAGCGTCTCAGCGGGGGCCTGGAAAGTCACTCACCAGCATCCTTCCCCAGAAGATGCCTCTTTCCTGCTGCCTATTTTACACTGGAAGTAGCTCCTTCCGGGTCGGCGTAAGGACCGTCCTGAGCAGAGACATTCTCTCTGTTCCCTTGTGAGGGGTGCGGCTCACTTCGGCTGCAGACTGGGAGAAAGGCCTTGCTGTCAGCCACAGGCCACGCGAAGAGTAGAGACAGTGACAGGAGTCAGCAAAGAAATGGGAGATAATGTGTTTTTCAAAGCACCTAGCATAGCGCCTGGGAGATAATAATAATGACAACAACAATAATTATTATTGATTAGAAAACATATAAACGTACTATTGCTTACTGTTGATCTGAGCACTTCCTGTATACCATCTCATGTAGTTCTCACAGCAGCCACGTGACTTAGGTCGCGCTCATTACCCCCCTTTGGCTGAGGAGGAAACGAAGCCCTGAGACGTAAAGTAACTTTCTCAGGGTCGCAGAGCCAGTAAGTAGTGGGGTTGGGATTCAGACCCAGGTGTTCTGACTCCAGAGTTTCCGCTCTTCACCCCTCTGCTCTACTGGCGCTCAGGTGTTCGACAAATGGTCATTGAACGTAATGTGAAATACATCAAGTCTTCCACTGGCCAGGGTCTGAAAGCATTGTTTGCTCAGGGCTGCCGCTTCTCTCTTTCTGGAATATATATAAATTATAAAAAAAATAAAAAAAAAACCACCACCAACAATGCTGTGGCCAGGAACTAACCATTTCCTGGCACACTGCCTTTCTTAGATCAGAAATCGGAGAAGTCATTCTGTGAGGAGGACCACGCGGCCCTGGTGAATCAGGAAAGTGAGCAGTCAGACGATGAACTTCTGACCCTTTCCAGTCCACATGGCAATGCCAACGGTGACAAACAACAGGGAACCAAAAAGCCCAGCAAAAAGCAGCAGGAGCCAGCTGTCCCTCCACCCCCCGAGGATGTGGACCTTCTGGGCTTAGAAGGGTCTACAGTGAGTAAGAACTTCTCCCCGCCAGTGGCTCCTCCCACCAATTCTGAGCTGCTCAGTGACCTGTTTGGGTGTGCAGGTGCAGCTGGGCCTGCCCAGCCTGGACCGTCCGGGGTGGAAGATGTGTTTCACCCAAGTGGACCTGCCTCTGCCCAGTCGACACCACGCCGGTCTGCCACCTCCACCTCTGCGTCTCCAACCCTAAGAGCGGGAGAAGGTAATTTTTTCCGTGCTGCACTGGACTTCTCGGTTTTGAAATATAACCCTTGGGTCAAGCAGGTAGAATTGAACCTTGCTCATAGGCTAGACTTTCCTGGTCTCCCTGAAAGTTCATCAGAAGTCTATATCTTTATTTAAATGTGGAACACAAGAGGAAATAGAAGGTAGGACAGGGAAGAGTATATATTTGAGCTTCTCACCCTTACCTTATTATTTTTTTAATTATTTTTTTCTTTATTGATTTTAGAGAGAGAGGAAGGGAGAGGTAGAGATAGATAGAAACATCGATGAGAGAGAACATCGATTGGCCGCCTCCTGCATGCCCCCCACTGGGGATTGGGCTCACAACCTGGGCATGTGCCCTGACCGGGAATTGAACCAGTGACCTCTTGGTGCATGGGTCGACGCTCAACCACTGAGCCACACCAGCTGGGCTCACCCTTACTTTATTTTTTTTTGTTCAGGGTTTTAGTACCTGAGCATGGAGATGTAGATTGATGAATTATTATTAATAATGACAGCTTATATTTGTGGGGTATTTACTATTTGCCAAACATGGAAATTAACACTAAATGTTGATTCAGTTCTTATAAAAACCCAGTAAAAGGTGCCATTATTGTCCTACTTCATAGTCGAGGGAATAGAGGCTTAGAGTCAGATTAGTAGCATGTCATTCAGACAGTTAGTAACTGATGGGTCCAGGCTCCAAAACTAGGCCATTTGACTCCAGAGTTTTCCCTCAGGTTTTCCTGAAATGCCTTCTTGGAATGGTGGTTTTCCGAATACACTTTGGCTGCACAGAGAAGTACTTGGTCCTTTCAAGACATGTTTGAAGGACTCATGCCGGCAGCACAGCTGACGGTAGCAGAGCTGTGGGTGCCCACTAAGGAGCTGGAGCTCCGGGTGGCCCAGTGAGCTTCATCTTAGACTCAACCCCTCCTATGCCTGGACATCCACAATTTTTTGACATTTGCAAGACAGTGTAGCTGAATAAACAGAAGTCTATTATAGCTGCTAAGAACTAGCTGCCCCTTGTTACCAAGATAATATCACATTAGGAAGAGTAGAGAGAAATGTCTAAACATTCCAGGCATATGTAACTTGCAGGAACTTTCTTTGCCACGCTTATCCTTCCTTCACTTCTCGGGAGGCTTTGGGCAGGCGTTGATTTATGGTAGTTCAGCTGGAGGCATTCTTTGTAAGAGTGAGCCTCAGAATCCTAGACTAGGTGCTGGTATCAAGCTCCTACATGTTACTGGTGGAGTCGGGGTGAGGTGCCTTGAATCCCAGGATATTTCCTCTGTGTTTCACTCCCATCCAAAGTGAATAAAAGCTCTATCAGGAAATTTTTCAAAATCCCCAAGTTCCAAGGTAGCATAGTTCTCAGTGGTCACCTGTTAAGACTGTGCATCTTGTGTGACTTTTGATGATTTGGACCATCATAGTCCCATCCAGATAGTCCTGTTCCAGCGTCAGAACTAGACGTACCCTCTGAGAAATTATGTAAATCTGTGCCTCAGGTTACAGATAATGAAATTGAGGCCCAGATGTACTGATGTACTTGTCCAACGGTACACAGCTGATAGGTGGCAAACCCAGATCTAGAACTCAAGTATCCTGTCCCTGAGGAGGAAGTAGAAGGAACACAGTCCATAATTTAAGGCCTAGATTTGAATCCTGGGACCAACACAACTATTTGTGTAGTCTTATTAATAAAACCTTAATCTTCTGGTTGTAAAAAAGGAATAATACTTACCTATCAGCATTTTTGTAAAGACCAAATTTTGAGCTCTTGTGGTGTTGAGAAGTTCACTTTTAGTTATTGGAGAATGCCTCTAATTTAACATAAGTTGCTATTAAAAGTGTACCAAGTAATAGAAGATTTTAGCATCCTCCACTAGTTGGCATCAAACTTAGATATAGAGGAATTAACCCAGTGTCCTCTAAGAATTACACTATAAATCTCAGTGTTCTCATTTTATAGAAGGTATAAAGTTTTTTTTTTTTTTATCACTTTTTGTTTTGTTTTCTTAATACTCACCTGAGGATATTTTTTTCCCAATTGATTTTTAGAGAGAGTGGAAGGGAAGGGTGGAGAGAGGGAAAGAGCAAGGGAGAGAGAGAGACATCGATGTGAGAGAGACACATTGATTGGTTGCCTCCTGTACAACCCTAACTGGGGCTGGTTTAAAATCTGCAACCCAGGTATGTGCCCCTGACTGGAATCGTACCCACAACAATTGGATCCATGGGCTGATGCTCTAACACTAACCACTGAGCCAAACTGACCAGGGGTAGAAGGGATAAAGTTTTATGAGTACTAAATGATAAGGGATATATAGTGTGTAGCAGCATGCCTGACAGAAACTTGATTTATTGGTGCTATACAAGGCTAATTTGCTGTCCAGAAGCTCATAGGAGATTATTGCGGCAATGAAGTCATAGCTGAACACATTAACCAAATATCCTACCTGGGCTTTGAGAGTGGGATTTATCATTAACTTGTTTGGTTCTAGTTGTCTATTCCTAAAGGTCAGTCCCACCCCAGGAAGCAGTCAACTCGTTAGTGTGCTCCTTACAGAGTAGGAAGTGATGTCTCACTATAAGGAGCTAAAGGGAATATTGTTCCTTGCCCAATAATGAGATATTCAAGGGCATTTACACTCAGGCAGCTCCATGGTTCTCTTCACATTCATTTCACAGCTTGAGAAATGTGAGATGCCTTTGGGAAATTCCTGGAATTTGGCATCAGAAGACTTGAATGTGAATTTCAGCCCTCTTATTTACTTGATATTGGGCAAGCAACTTGGCTTTCTAAACCTCAGTTTCATTGTCTAAATAATGAAAATAATACCACTTCTGTCTGAAGGTACTGAAGATCAGCTGAGGTATTTATGAAAAGGCATCAGCTGAGCTATTCTTAATGAAAAGGCAATGTAAACCCTCAGAAATGATACAATATTAGTGTTGTTGCATTGTTTCTGGAAACCTCAGCTGCCCACTTTCTCTAGTCCCCTTAATTCATTCACAAACTTTTGATAGTCCTGGAGGAAATGTAAGGGTGAGATGGGCCCATGGAACAGCCCAGGAAGCAGGTATCACCCTGTTTTCAAAGTGTTTCGCCCAACGCCCGGCAGTAGTGACAACTCTTCAGTTTCATTGAATGAATGAACCCATAGGACAGAGAAACACATTTTTTTCTTTTGTTTTCTAGGTGCCACCTTTGACCCATTTGGAGCACCTTCTAAGCCATCAGGTCAAGATTTGCTGGCTTCCTTCCTGAACACATCCAGTACTTCCACTGACCCCTTTCTTCAGCCCACGAGAAGTCCTTCACCTACAGTGCATGGTAAGAAGTATTTTGCATTGTGTTCAGTGGAACATAGATTTCCACCAGATATCAGTAGGTCCTTAGATTTCAAAGCACCCTGTAGGTGTTTGGGTGGGATGGGGGAAGCTACATAATGAATCTCTCTCTTTTGAAAATTAACAATTCATGTTAACATATTAAACACTCTGGATGTCTTACCACAAACAAGTCTGCTTAACTTTGTTTTACTCAGCTTTTCTAAAACTTATTTGACTAGAATTCTTTTGTTGCATTAGAGCTACATGCACAGAATTATGATACCATTGATTATAGGATGTTTACTTTATATACTGATAAGAAAAAATATGCGATTATTTTTAGTTGATTGGAAGATGCATCCTAGTTGGAGACATCTTTGAAATGTGGAAAAATATGAGTCAAATTAATAAAATGTGATATGAGCAGTCTACAAAATTAATATTCTATAGAACAAAGGTTAGCATACAACACCTTGGTGAATTAGAGCTATTTTGTCTAATACGAAGTGACCATTGAGCACTTTATATATGGCTAGTCTATCTGAAATGTGCTTTAAGTATAAAATAACACCCCAGATTTCAAAACTTAGTACAAAATAAGAATATAAAATATCTCATTAGTATTTTTGATATTGATCACTTGTTAATATTTTGAATATATTGGGTTAAATAAAATATATTTCTAAAATTAATTTCACCAATGTCTTTTTACCTTTTTTACTGTGACAACTAGAAAATTTAAAATTATACCTGGCCAGGTAGCTCAGTTAGTTAGAGTGTTGTCCTGATATGCCAAGCTTACCAGTTCTACCCCTGGACAGGACACATACAAGAAGCAACTAATGAATGCGTAAATAAGTAGAACAACAAATCGATGTTTCTTTCTTTCTCTCTCTCTCTTTCAAATAATCAATTAAAAATAAGAAAATTTAAAATTACATATGCAGCCCATATTATATATATTTTTTATTTTAGAGACTTAGGTTATGTGGAAAGAATAGTGATCACATCCATTTGAAAGTGCAAAAGGATATCACTTAGGAGACAGATTAAAACTAGAGCTCTCCAGTGAAGGAAAAATGTCTTTGAGCTAGAAAATTATATATCTTTCTTGATGTTGAAGGCTATTAAACATGATTGGCCTCAACCTAGAAAACAATGTATTGTTGAAGGCACCCTGGACTTGCCTGGAGAATGCAGTCTCCTCATCAGCTTGACTTCCTGCAAGTCAGGCAAATGCAAAAGGAAGGTGAGTTATGTAACATTGGTCCAACTGTAACCTGACTAAATAGAAATCAGTCTAGGAATAACCTTTGTGGGTGATTTCCAATTAGTCTTAAATCTCAAACTGTCTGAGGTGGGTCCACAGGAGAAATTCACCTCTCACCCTTGAGTAGTGCCCACCTAAGAGAATCTCCTGGTTTCCCCGGGCAGAAAGATGCAGGGATAGAGGTTAAAGCTGTTGTTTCTGCTTACTTACATAAAATGCAAGTCACATCATTGCTCCAAATAGCTCCCTATTTCACTTAGCAGGGTTGCCCAAGTCCTCAAAGTGGCCTATGTAGGCCCTGGGTGCTCTCGAACCCCAGTCACCTCATTTCCTGTTCTCTCCCTTTCGCTCGCTCCATTGCAGCCACACCGGCCTACTTGCTGCTGCGCTGCTGTCCCCTCTTCTGAGACGTCACAGGGATCACTTTTTCACCTCTTTTGATCTTTGCCCAGACTGCTCCATTTCACTCCACAACTTGTCCCCCCGCCCCTGCCTACTCTACAGCTTCCTTCCCATGCTACTTACCAACTTCAGTATATTTAATAGTTTACTTCAGTGTTATATTTACTTTTGGTTGTCTCTCTCCAACCAAGGCAGGGATTTTTGTTTGTTTTGTTTGTTAATGCTTCCCGGGTGCTTAGAAGAATTGCTGGCACATAGTAGGTGCTGTCTGTCTTTCTATCTAATATGTAAATATAACATGAATTAACTCATTGTTTCCCTACCTAAGCCTCTTCGCTGCATAATGATAGAATGAATAAGCTTATATATTGTCCTGATGTTAATACTTTGAATCCATTGTTTTTCTAAGAGTACTGCCGTTTGTGTCCCATGCATGTGGATGTTCATACTTGGGCATGGCAGTTCTGGATCTGGGTCTCTGTTTCTTTTTCATAAAATAAGTTATTTATTCATGTAACCCTCAACCCAAGGATATATTTTTATTGATTTTTAGAGAGAGAGAGAGAGAGAGAGAGAGAGAGACATTGGTGTGAGAGAAAAATATTGAGTTTCTTTGTGTACGCCCAGGCCAGGAATCTAACCTGTGTGCCCTGACTAGGAATTGAATCCGCCACCTTTTAGGTGTACAAGACAATGTTCCAACCAACTGAGCCACCCAGCTAGGGAAAGGTTCTCTGTTTCTTGTGAGCCGGTTAGAACATGTTTAATACCCAGCTGTAGGCCAGTTAGCACCCCTTTGTTTTATAGCCACACTTCTCATTTTGGCCTGTCTTACCAGTGAGTGAAAAGAATTTCCTGCTATCCTTGCTTCAAAATCAGTGATCACGCCACTGTTAGTGGATCATTTGTACATTCTTCATATAGGATAACATATATTTGAGACTCAGAGGTCAGATTAGGAGGTCAGAATTGCCTATCCCAGAATTTCCTACCTCCGCAAAAGGTACCTGTTCCGTTCTTTTATCCAGCCATTCACGTTGGAAACTTGGAGTCATTTTGCTCAGATTTCTACAAGGCACCACCATTCTCTTCTGAAAATCAAGGAATATTACCTTTGAGCTCTACAGATATTTGTTGAATATCTATTCTAAAGAGAATAAGCACTGGAGCATAGTATTAGCTGAAAAAAGTAAACAAATAACTAATAAAAGGCAAGATAGAGAATAAAAATATTAAGTAATTACCTTTTAATGAGTGTACTCCCATCTTGAACAGATTTTAAGTTTATTGAAAATAGGCAATGTATTTTTTAGTTCAGTAGGTAGTCATAGGATTGATGAGTTTGATTAGTAATAAGGTTGAAGTTATGACATCTAATTCTACATCCTAGTTGGATTGTAAGACTAAGATCAGAGTGTAAAGTGATCATGTCATGTTCTTAACTTAATGATGGGAAGGTACAAGATGTCTTGATTTGTACTAAGCAAACAGGTAAATATAAGGCTTGGTAGTGCTAATTTTGCCGATTTGCTGATTCTTTTGGTGGTGGTGAGTGTGTATATGTTTTAAATCTGACTTGCAATGTTTGGTTTTTGCATTTTACTCACTGATTTTATGGACAGAACTTAAAGTTGCCATTGAAAGAAATTCTTTCTTATGATATCCTGTTTCTTATTTGGATTTTATAGATTCAGAAAAAAATTAGTACCAATGTGTATTCTTTTAATATGCCAGATTCTCTTTAGCTAAACATTTTTAAATTCTACATTTGGAATTTTGAGAGGGGCTAGGTGATATATTTTGAAGCTGTAGGGAGTTTGTTTTGAGTGACAGTAGATACACCCCTGACATGAGTATGATGAATGGCATGCAGTCAGTGCTCAATATGTGTTCTGAATGCCTGATCATTCTCAATTCATGTCATAGCAGAGAAGAAAACAGAATTTCCGTTCTAAGTTGATCATGCCTCTCGTACACTTGTTCATGCCAACCTAAGGCAAATTAAGTTTGCTTTTTTCATCTTTTCTTATTGCCCGTTGACTTTCAGATAAATAAGTGGGGCACACACTGATGAATGAGGTAGTTCCTGCTTTCAAGGAACTCACAACTTAGTGTAGACAGACAAATGCACAGTGATATTTCAAAGTGTGTGGATATGGAGGCAAAACAAAGTTGAGCCAAAGAAGGAATAGAAATAAACAATACGTGGCTTTGACTACCTTCACGTAAGTCACCATATTGGAATGCACAAATTATCAGGAGCTGCAAAATGTGGTGAGAGCTCAGCAGGAGGGATGAACCCTCGGGACCTTGGGAGGCCATGCAGATTTCATGGAAGGTATAGCATTTTCCTGTGTGAACTTAGCAAAGTGGGTTCTGAGCTATCATGTTTTGATTCCTTTTTTCTCCTAATTTTTAGCATCGAGTACACCTGCTGTGAACATTCAGCCAGATGTTTCAGGAAGTTGGGACTGGCATACTAAATCAGGTAAAGGTCAGCAGGCTATTTTTATATGCATAGTTAACCAATTGCTAAAGCATGACCGTTCACCCAAGATGAAGTGAGTACAGAGAGTATATAGCCCACCTATGTAATTTGTGTTGACTTTTCCTAAGAGTCATATTTGGTAGAACCTTCCCGTTGCATTTGATGGCATGGTAGTGTTGTGTATTATGTTACTTTACTTTTCTAAGTCTCATTTACTGAATGTTTGTTTAGGCAGAATTAGGCAGATCTGGATATATATCTAATTGTGCCACTTAAAAGTTCTTGGATTTTTTTCTTTTTTCTTTTTACATGTCTGAATCTCAGTTTTGTTATCTGTAATGTGGGGATCATAATTCTATACCACATACTTGTATAGTTTAAGTGAAATAACTTATAGAAAAATTTCTAGCGTGGAGTAGTGCTAAATGATTTGGATGGTCTTCCTTCTTCACAAAGGACTTGTTCCAGGGCTGGATTTGTCTGTGATAAATAAACTGTCTTCCTCATGGCTAGGTGGTGTTCATTGCCAGCCATCTTGTTCGATTGCATTCCCAGCTCTGGCAGGTTCTCTCTCTCCCCGCCCCCAGCTCTGGCAGGTTCTCTCCCCCCCCCCCCCCAGCTCTGGCAGGTTCTCTCCCCCCCCCCCAGCTCTGCAGGTTCTCTCCCCCCCCCCCCAGCTCTGGCAGGTTCTCCCCCCCCTCAGCTCTGCAGGTTCTCCCCCCCCTCAGCTCTGCAGGTTCTCTCTCCCCCCCCTCAGCTCTGCAGGTTCTCTCTCCCCCCCCCCAGCTCTGCAGGTTCTCTCCCCCCCCCCCCAGCTCTGGCAGGTTCTCCCCCCCCTCAGCTCTGCAGGTTCTCCCCCCCCCTCAGCTCTGCAGGTTCTCTCTCCCCCCCCTCAGCTCTGCAGGTTCTCTCTCCCCCCCCAGCTCTGCAGGTTCTCTCCCCCCCCCCCAGCTCTGGCAGGTTCTCCCCCCCCCTCAGCTCTGCAGGTTCTCCCCCCCCTCAGCTCTGCAGGTTCTCTCTCCCCCCCCTCAGCTCTGCAGGTTCTCTCTCCCCCCCCCAGCTCTGGCAGGTTCTCTCCCCACCCCCCCCCCCCAGCTCTGGCAGGTTCTCCCCCCCCTCAGCTCTGCAGGTTCTCTCCCCCCCCCCAGCTCTGGCAGGTTCTCTCCCCCCCACCCAGCTCTGGCAGGTTCTCCCCCACCCCCAGCTCTGGCAGGTTCTCTCTCTCTCTCTCTCTCTCTCTCTCTCTCTCTCTCTCTCACACACACACACATACACACACTCTGTGCTTATCACAGCAACTTGCTGAAGCAATTCCTGTTTCTTAACAAATGAGAAAATACTGAAACTCAGAGAAGTTAAATAACGCGCCCAAGGTCACTCACTCATCCAGGAAATAGCGGAGCCAGAATTCAGATTCAGGCCTGACTACAAATCCCACAGGCAAAATGAAGTCAGGTCACAGGAGAAGTAAACACTGGACATAACAGTTCACAGGTGTGGCCAGGAAGCGACATATGCTGTCTTTGTGCCCTGTCTCTGCTTCAGGTCACTGTTTACTTAAGTCAGAAAAGCAAGGTCTAGCAACTTCTGACGTATTTCCAGATCCTGTCCTAATTTGCCCTTAGACAAGATGAGCCATTGCTTTAGATTTCTGAATTTCAGAATTCCGCCTCAGACAACTAACTCCTTTTCAATGATCTCATTTCCTTTTCAGGAGGTTTTGGAATGGGGAGCAAGTCAGCTGCCACCAGCCCGACGGGATCCTCGCATGGCACTCCCACCCACCAAAACAAACCCCAGACTCTGGATCCTTTTGCTGACCTTGGCACACTAGGTATAAACTTAACAGGTTAAGATATGTACTTACGGCTACAAAATCTCAAATCTAAACCTTTAGTGTTCTAATAAGCTGGTACCTAAAATCTTGTATATTCTTAACTATACATACATTAAAACCCGAGATTGGCTTTAAACACACAAACAAAAACCAGCTTCAAATATTGGATTGGAACTAACCCCTATTTATCCATTTTTCCAGTGCCTAATTTTGGGTTAGTAAGATGAATAAAGTTACCAGTTCCAGAAGCATCTGACAACAGAGTTTGGCTGTAGCAGAAGTAACGAATGTGTAGAGAAACACCGAGAGACAAGGCTGGAGAGACAGAGAGGAGCCCCACGGGGCAAGCCATGCATAGGCCTTCTCGTGATGTCACCAGTGAGATCCTCCCCCCGGTTTCCCTCTTATCACTGAGTACAGTGCTCTCTGGTCAGTTTGTAAGATTACTTACAAAAGAATAGACACTCGTATAGTTTTTCCAAAGTGTTTTTCATCATGTATTAGTTGTTGTTAGAGGATAAGTGTTACATGAACATGTAACTTTGGAAACTGGGTTCAGTGGACTTTGATTACTGCAGAAACCTCTGAGGCTCACTGGTCATGATGCTTTCCAAAAGGGATACAGTTTGCAGTGTTCTCAAACTATTTCACCAAGAAAGCATTTTTCAAGGAATAGTTCGCTGGATGTTCTGAAGCCTTGTCTTCTTCCTTTATCCTTCCTCTTCTGGGCAGTGCGGAATTCAACAAGGGTGGGTGCACCCTGACACAGGTGTAAATGATCCATGTTGATAGTTCCGGTTCTCAGAAAGCCCTGGGATAGTTCGAGCCAAGTTGTCTTCAGGGAATGAGCGCATACCAGCATTTTTTACAGTAAATGTGTCAAAATCTTGACCTTTCCTTATATATGTTTTAGAATGCTTTTTTTTCTTTTAGAACTCTCAAAATTATTTTCCCTTCTTTGTATTTCAGTATAAGCATAAAAAATTTAAATAACATCAGGTGAAATTCTTTTGATCCATTTATTCATTTCATAACTATTTAGTAAGGGGCTTCAATGTGCTCATACTGTTTTAATAAAAACCAAGCCCCCCAAAACCAAAACAAAATTTCTCTTTAAAGCTTATATTCTAGAAGGGGAAACAAATAGTAAATGAATAAATATATAATATAATAACGGTGTTTATTGGGGGATTTATTATTTGCCAGGCACTTTTTTTAAGTGCTTGACATTATATACATTTATTTAATCTTTCCAATATTTTGAAGTAGAGACTATTATAATTCTTCTTTTGTAGATGAAGAAACTAGGGCACGAAAGGTGAAGTAACATGCTTCAGTCATAGGTTTCAGCACTAAACTTCCAGCTCCAAAGTTGGCACTCAGAACCCATGTGCAGATTTGCTCTGAAAAAAAATAAGGTGGAGAGCCACGGTGAGGGATGGCTGGGCTCGGGCGTTACTTTATATAACAAGTGGTTGGGGAGGGCCTCTCTGAAGAGTGACCTTTATAGGAAGTTCTTTTTTAAAATCCAACATTACGTCTTGCATTTAATTCTCATGTCCTTTTACACGCCGTTAATCTTGTATCATTCCTCACTCTTTCTTTGCTTTTTCATGACATTGATACTGGAAGGGTACAGGCCAGTTAAGAACATCTCAATTTGTTAACTTGAATCATTTGCTTAAGGTGATGTCTGCCAGTTTCCTTCACTGTAAAGTTACCATTTCCCTTTTGTAATTAATGAGTAATCTGGGGGAGATAATTTGAGACTATCCTATTTGAGATAATCCTATTGGAGAATATTTTATTCTCCATCTGACTCTTACCCACCGATTTTAGCATTCATTAATGATTCTTGCCTGAAGTAGTCAATATGGTGATGTTTGAAAAATTGTGATAGTTCTGATTCTTTCCCTTTTTTTACATTTATTAATTGGCATTTCACTGTAAGGAAAAAAATCTTTTCTCTTTCCCCTTTTCTCCCTCCCTCCCCTTCACATCAGAATGGACTAATATTTTTTTTTTTTGATTCAGTAGGTTATCATTTATTACTGTCATTATTTCCTTTAATGTTCACATTGTCCCAGATTTGATTTGTGAATGCCTCTTTGTCCTGGCTTGTGTCCTTTTCACTAGATTCCTTCTTTTAAGAATTTACTTTCTTTATAAAATAACAAGATGTCCCAGGCTTGTCTTGAAATTTTTATACCCCAGTCCTGGAATCAGTCATTCTCCAACGTATCCTCACTCCCTTTGATGGGGAATGGTATTTAGAACCCCAAATCTGTACACTAGTATGTTCACTGGTACTGGGGTGGGTGTCATTGTTCTACCTTTCAGGAGATAGAGATAGGAGATGAATGGGAATAAATACCTAGACTTCCATCCGATGCCACCGACTTCTTCCTTGCCATCCCCTAGTGCATGTGTGTGTCTTCTTTTTCCTTGGATCACAATGACATTAATAGTCAGACAACAAAAATAGCTACACGTATGTCAATATAACAAATCTGGGAGGACTTTAGGAATTCTTTGTCATTTTTGAAATGCAGTCATTTTTTACAACTGCTGGTGAAATTGGCGTCCTAAGTTTCTCCATTTTTCTAGTCACATAACTGAGGAACTTTAAGTGACTTTCCTAAAGCCACCCAATGAACAGGTATATGAGCAAGGGCTACAAGGTAGAATTTTTGAGTCCCAGGTAATTGCTTTAGAGTAAAAATTAAACTTTCCAATTATATAGCTGCAATTTAGAAAATACAAAAGACGGTGTTCTTCTCTTTAAGGAATTTTCGCATTTAACAATTCTGATACAAACACCCATGCCTTAGTTCCTCCCATAGATATTTTGATGTAATTGATTTGGCTGTGGCTTGGAAATAGCAAGTTTTAAAAGCTCCTTGGGTCATTTTAATGCACAGCTAAGGCTGTTAACCATGCTTTAGCTCTTAACGAGGATAGCAGTGGCCTTTGGGTTTTGCTGCTTCTTTGTACTTCTGTCAGTTCTGTGCTTCAGCAACATTAAAAATTAGAATTATTGAACATGGGTAGAGATGTTGTGGAAGGGTAGCCATTAGGAAGTCCTACAGTGTTGATGAGCCCCGTGAGAGCAGGGTCAGCATCAGCCTTTTCATCACTATTTGCAGCCCGGCACGTAGAAGATGTTCAGCAGCTTCAGAAATGATGGAATAAAGGACGGTGCTGTGGGAATACGGAAGCTTCTTAAAATATTTTAGGCTTGTCCATTTTAAAGCTTTATATCTATAGCTTTATCTATATCTATATGAAAAATAACAAGCATCCTTAAAATAGAAAATGAAATCTCAGTGTAGAATGAATACCCAGCCTAAGGTGTGTATGTTGATGTCCTGTGGGCAGGCGGGCCCAAGGGCTCATGAAGAGATGCTTCATGCTCTGAGTTACAGACTGAGAGGGGCCAATACCAAGCTTTAGAGTATATGCGCTGTCATGACCTTTCCCATTACCTAGTGTTTATTGAACCCTTACAATGTGCTAGTGTGTGCTAGCCGATGCTGGGCATATGAACTTGCATGGTTTTATAATATATAATACCTCTTGATTCACATAATTCATGATTTTTTAAGTACTTTTTTATAGCCATTGTGTATTTACAGTATACCTGTGATGTATATGTAGTTCTGCTTTTACAGATGAGGGGTCTGAGACTCAAGGAGGTGAAGTTTTACATCGAGCTTCAGAAATGAAAGGATTCTCTCTGTATAGACTGTTTTAAACTCTATTCCCAGTGCCCAACACAGTATCTGGCACATAGTAGATGCTCAACAAACACTGGATGAATAAATAAATGCATGCAAGATGGAATGCGTGAAGGAGAGGTAGAGCTGAGACTCAAACTCGGATTGACTCCAAGTCCAGTGGCCATAATACAACATTCCCAGTGGGGAAAGGAGGAGGAATCCCAGACCAGAATAGAGAGAAAATATCTATAGGAAGAAGAGAGAGAGTAAGGAAGAGATGAATTACAGTGAAAAACTCAGAGATATGGGGAGGAATTAGGGATTTGCGTACAGCAAATAAGTATGACATTTGGAGATAAGATGCCTATGATCAATTCCCAGCTCCATTAACTAGCTGTGTGATCATTAGTACATCAGTAAACCTCTCTGAGCCTTGATTTCCTTATTTTTTAATATAGGGCCAATAATACTACCCACCTCCTAAGAGTGTGGCATAGATTGAAGGCAATAATATACATAAACATATTTTGTAAACTCTGAAGAGCTATATAAATACTGTTTTATTATGACTGTTATTTTGGGTTTGGGCATGAAAGGTCCCTGAAGCTCACCACATTTGAGTTTCTCAATTTACCTCTTTAAACACAAGCACAGCCGGTCTTCTTATTTTGGAAACAGCCCAGCATGTATTCAGTGAGTATTTAAAAGTTAGGGGATTATGGAATCAGGATTCTATTTAAATTCCTGGCACAGAGTAGTATCATTTTTAAAAGGTTGAATAAGATCCTTTGCCCTGTTCAAAGTTGGCTGTGTTTACTTTCCTGCAATGAAATGCAAGTAGTGTGAAATTGAAACCTACTTGTGAAACTTCAAAACATATTTGTTTACTCTTGCACATTAGCCATGCTTGTAGTTATAACAAACAATGATTAATCCTAATCATTGAAGTTTAAATAGCACCTTAATGAGTGAACATACTCTGTTTTATTTCCTGTTCTTATCACTGGGGAGTTTTTACTCCAGTGGAAACATAGAACCTGCTTAGACGATGGGACGGTGGAGAGGGAAGGTTCAGTGGGAGGGGCCAGGGTTCTTCCGGCTTGGAGTCAAGACTTGGATTCAAGTCCCAGGTCTGTCACTTGCTGGTTGTGTGACTTTGAGAAAATCACTTACCTGCTCAGAGTTGCAATTTGTTCATCTAAAGAAAATATGGGACTATTAATACATACCTAAAAATGTCATTGTGGGGATTAAGGGAAATATATACCTGCCATTAAAAAAATTTTTTTTTTCTTTATTGATTTTAGAGAGACAGGAAGGGAGAGGGAGAGAGAGAGAAACATCGATGAGAGAGAACATCGATTGGCCGCCTCCTGCATGCCCCACACTGGGGATTTGGCCCACAACCTGGGCAAGTGCCCTGACTGGAATCGAACCGGCGACCTCTTGGTGCATAGGTCAATGCTCAACCACTGAGCCACACTGGCCGGGCCCTGCAATTTATTTTTAACTATTAGGACGGTTAATAGTGCTATTAGTCAAGGCAATTTCCACTAAAGTGATTGCAAATAATAACTTGGGACACAAGAGTTAGAAGCTGCTCAAAATAGCATTACCTTCTTTCTCCCCCAACCCCCCTTATTTTTCTATAGGTAGTTCTTCATTTGCCAGCAAACCCACCACACCAACTGGACTGGGCGGGGGATTTCCACCTCTCAGCTCACCCCAGAAAGCGTCTCCCCAGCCTGTGGGTGGAGCGTGGCAGCAGGGAGGCAGCTACAGCTGGCAGCAGACACAGTCCAAGCCACAGCCCAGCATGCCGCACTCCTCTCCCCAGAACCGGCCCAACTACAACGTGAGCTTCTCAGCCATGCCCGGAGTCCAGAGTGAACGTGGGAAAGGATCGGCTAATTTGGGTAAGGAAGATGGTATGGAATCTGGCTGTAGGGTGGCCTGTGTTATCATACGACTGTGTGGATGGATGTCTGAAGAAGAAGACAGGAAACAATTCCAGTGGTTTCTGAGGCAAGCTTTTAGTTGTAGAGATACAGCATGACCACCGCCTCCAGTTCTGTGCCTAGAGTACCTGGGTTTACCATGCTCGTAACACTTGTATCACGTTGTGACCGTTGGCTCACATGTCTGTTCTCCCCACACTGAGTTCAGATGGAGGGCAGGGACTGTGTATTTTTGCCATGTTACCACTAGCACATAGCACAGTGCTTGGCACACCACAGGCACCAAATGCATATTGACTGGGTGAGTGGAGGGTGGATGGATCTTGCAGCTGTCGTTTCTTTGAAAGAGGGGGTAGAGGAGAAAGGTTGGGAACCTTTCAAGCACTGTGTTCACATTGCCCTTGGGTCCTGATTAGAGTGTATCTCTCTTAGACATTTAGTCTTTGTTTTATGCTCTGTTTGGTGGATGTTCCTGAAACCTTTGGGTTTCCTGTGATGGTTTTCTCTCTCTTCTGAGAAGAAAGTTAAAAGAACATAAAATGGGCCATCAGCAAAGGCTGGAGGATACTCTGGATGGGATTCTTTTTTGAATGGTATTCTTGACAAGTAAAACATATTTTTGCATAGCAGGGATGGTAAATTTGAGTTTGTTAAAAGGTCTGGTATGATGCATTTTGCATTCCAGTTCATCTGATCGTACCCAAGAATTAATGTATAGAGACATGATGAGAAAACAGGCCTTTCCCTCTGCGGAACCCATAGAGGGAAATTCAACTCTTCCTACTAGCAGTAGCTAACATTTATTGAGTACTTACTTACTTTATGATGTTGGGTGCCATTGTAAACAATTTTCATGTATTATTTCATGTAATCTTCAAAACTAACCCCATGTTGTAGATGAGGAATTGGTGGTAGACAGTGATAAAGTGATTTCCTAAACTATACAGCTTGTATGTGACAGAGCTAAGATTTGAACCCTTTCTGGTGACCTGGCTCCAGAAAACCTGCTCTTAACCTCCACACTCTACTGGCCATGACAAGGTGCTTTCTCACAGTACTAACATGATAGGAATTCTTTTGTTGGGAATATGTAACATCGTGTTTGTTCTTTGGTGAGCAGTGGATATCTCTGGACAATTCCATGAGTCTTGGGGCTTCCTTTCTATTTTTGAGTAGATATGGGGTGAGTGTCTTCAATCATCAAATATTTATGGAGCATCTTCAGTGTAGAAAACTCTGGGGATACAGCAGTGAACAGGACAAACAAAATCCCTTGTCTCAATGTGTGCCTGTGTGAGCACCTTGGAGATGGCGAAAGGGTTTCAATTCAGACACCAGCTTTTGTTGATGGGCATTGCCAGCATGGACGGCTATGTTTTGGTTCTGTTTTGTTTTAATTTCACACACATTTAAATAGCCAGGTACTGTTCTAAGCATTTTAAAGTGTTTACATCAATTCTCACAACAACCCTATGAGGTAAGTTGTAGAGATTGTACAGATGAAGAGACTAAGGCATGGAGATGATAAGTAACTTGACCCAAGGTAACATTGCCAATAAATAGCAGAGCTGGAATTCAGAGCCCAGAGAGTCTGTCTCCAGAGTCTCTGCTCTTCACCACCATGCTAGGCCACCTCTCCAAACAGACTGAGAAAGACTGAGGCCACAAGCAGACTTGGCGAGAAAGACCACTGTGACGGACTAAAACTGTCAGCTGCGTGTAGCAAGGAAAGTGGTGGCATGCTTGGATTTCAAGTACCACAAACCCAGACCTTAGCTCCATCACTGATACTAACTAGTTGTATGACTGGAGCAGGGAGTGGGGGAGAATCATGAGTATCTTCATCTATAGATAGATGGTACAGTGGACATGGAAGTATGGAATTGGATTTAGTCTAATGATCTAGCCTCAAGTCCTAGCTTTGCTAGATCGTGAGCGTGTGATATATGATTCTGGACAAATCTCTGAAGTTCTTTTGACTTCACTTTCTTCATCTATAAAATGGGCATGGCAGTCTCATACTCTACCCACAGGGTAAATGTGAGGATTCAGGGGATCCATGCATGTGACAGCACCTCGAAGACTAAGTGTTATGAGGTGTTGGTATGATAATGTGTTTAAGTGTAAAAACTATAATGATTTTTTAAAAAAATTATATTGCAGAAGGGAAACAAAAAGCAGCTGACTTTGAAGACCTACTTTCTGGTCAAGGTTTCAATGCACACAAAGACAAAAAGGGGCCTCGAACAATAGCTGAGATGAGAAAGGAAGAAATGGCTAAGGAAATGGATCCTGAGAAATTAAAGGTGAGTGAGTCCCCGGCCCAGTGTAATCATCGTGTATGACAAGGTCATGTGTGTGGAGCATGGCGGTCCCAGTCCCCGGCCTCCTCAGTGCTTTCCTCCCCTTTTAACCAGAGCAGTTCTGCTTTTATCTGTTCTGATTCTAGAAGTCTTTCGTCTTGGAGACAAAGGATGTTCTCCATTTCTTTTAAAGTTTGCAAACCAGCCATTATAACTGCCTTATTTCACAGATGAGGAAACAGATGATAGTTCATAGATGAGGATGTTGTGTGGACAGACGGATCCAGGTTAGCTTGGAAAGAAAAGAGTGGTTATGTGGCTCTGGCCCTGGCCAGTTTGGCTCAGCGGTTGGAGCGTTGGCCTGCGGACCAGAGAGTCCCGGGTTCAGTTCCTGCTAGGGGCACATATCAAAAACAAAAACAAAAAAAAAAGAGTGGTTATAAAATAAAAATAAAAGAGTGGTTATGTTGATGAATTGTGTGAGGTAGTGGAAGAGTTTTTAAATTAAAAGAATGGGAATGCTCTTCAGAGAGAGAGAGATCCAATTCCTATGTGACAAAATACTTAATATGCTGCCACTATAACAAACTAGAAGATGAGGGTCTAATCTGTTATTGCATCAAAGGACTGATACAGCCAGTCAATCATTTTGAAAACATATAACACAGTTCTAGACAGATCTGAACACTGATGATGTGTAGACTCTTAGATACTTTTTTGAGCACAATAGAAAATCCTTTGTTTGTGTTTGCTTTTTACTTCATATAACATCACAGAAGCTTTATATTCCTTCCAAAAGTGTGTTCTATCGTGATAACTTTTGTTCTTTAGGCAAACTCTGCAGATTTCTGTAAAAGAAAGGCATGTATGTTTTTAAACCAAGCTTGGTTACTTAGTTGGTACAGAGTATTTAGTTGTTTGTGAGAGTAGCCATTGTTAACCTTGACTAAACCAGTCGTTTGACAGCAAACATGTGCTGAGCCCCTGTGGTGCACTCAGTGTGCTGCATCCTTACGAACCCGCTAACTTAATCACCTCCTTTGCTCAAAATATGAAGATCCAAACTATGAATAGTTTGAATGAATGACTAAATGGATGAATTTTTTTTTTTTATCCTCACCCGAGGACATTTTTCCATTTTTTGTTCAGATAGAGTGAGAGGGAGAGAGAGGAAGAGAGAGAGAGAGAAACATCGATGTGAAGGGACACATCGAGTGGCTGCCACCTGCACGACCAACCAGGGCCGGGGACAAACTGCAACCGAAGTACGTGCTCTTAGCGGGAACCGAACCCGGGTCTCTCTGTACCGCAGGCCGACGCTCCAACCGCTGAGCTAAACCGGCCAGGGCTAAATGGATGAATTTGACCAACCTTTTTTGAGCTCCATTCTGTGCCAGGGGAGCTACTTGGTTTCTGAGATACAGTGTCATGTAGGAAACAGTACCTTCCTGCAAACGCTCTGCCAAACAGGCAGAGGATTACAATAAAGTGTGGCCCATATTAGGATTGAAACATGTTTAAGGGAGTACCCCAGAGAAATTCTTTCTTTTTTCCAAGGGGTATTTATTTTGTATCTCTGTGCCAGATACTGTACTACACAGAATCAGACAGCAGAGACCAAAAGAGACATGGTGTGCATCCCCATGGAGTGTATACTTTAAGGGTGAATTATTAACTCTGGGGAGGGGCAGAGAGGAAGGAATTCAGACTCTCAAAGGGGAACAGTATGAAATTCCTGAGCAGCTTTTGAAGGATGATGAAGAGTTAACTAGAAAGAGAGGGCAGGAAGTAGAGGTGGGAAAGCATTCCTGGTGGAGGAAACCGCATGGAAGATGCAGGGAGCCTCAGGTACTTTGATGTTGCTGGAGCAGGAGGGTTCCCAGACTACCAACAGAGGCCTTCTGAATTTCTAATTCCCCTGCATTTACAGATTCTGGAATGGATTGAAGGCAAAGAGAGAAATATCAGAGCACTTCTCTCCACGATGCACACTGTGCTGTGGGCTGGGGAGACCAAGTGGAAACCAGTTGGCATGGCAGACCTGGTAACTCCAGAGCAGGTGAAGAAGGTGTATAGGAGGGCTGTGCTGGTGGTGCATCCAGACAAGGTGAGCATAACCTACCCTATTGTATTGCCTGTTTGGTCCTCATTTCATTCATTTATAAACAACATACTTTCATTCTGCTGGTTATTAGGCCATTTATATGATAAAATAAAGTCCATGCGCTAAAATCAAGAATTTAAACGGTTATACTTTATAAAGTGGATGAAAAAGAAATCAAACTATTACAAATAACAGAATGGGGACTTTCCTTAGAGAGATGTAAGATTCACCAGTGACTAATTTTTAGGGTCTCCAAGAACAGTTGTTTTTTTAAAATGGGAAAATGGGAGTTTACAAATGCAGTCAATTGGAGATAGGCTGTCATAAACCTTTGTCATTCAGGAGATAATTCTGGAAAACTTCTGGAGAGCGGAGAAGAATCTTTTGCTGCCCAATAAGTTCTTTCTTATCTACTCATTGACTGATTACTACCACCATACGAGAATTTCTAGTGGGGCATTCTGGGGAGGTCATATAATTAGGGCCACATAGATTGGGCTATAAGAAGAGAAATGGCTTACTAGGAACACATTTCAATAAGCATATTAGCAGTGAAAACTTAATATAAATAAAAATTTGGTCTGTGGTATCTAACATATGTTTTGTTTTCTTCTATAGGCTACTGGGCAACCTTATGAACAATATGCAAAGATGATTTTCATGGAGCTCAATGATGCCTGGTCTGAATTTGAAAATCAAGGCCAAAAGCCCTTGTATTAATTTATGAGCTTTTCCATCTCTGCTGCAGACCTGTGGTAATGCTTAGTGTGTGTCACAATTCTGAGGTTTTCAAATATGAACCAAAATCTCCAGTAACACGTATCCAGTACTAAACTGTTAAATTACTCATGAATTACTTCCTCATTGATAAAGAATATGGATGTTTGTTTTCTCAAATCCCCACCATAAAAGGTCCAGAGCAGGAGAGGACCTTTTAGTCAGATGACCTTGCAGAGTTACAACATTCCAGCCTGCCTTTTGAGGGGCCTACTCAGCATATTTGGGGAAATGGAAATCAGAGGCCACCAAAAGCGTAACACCCATCTCATTGTCTGGGAATAGGATTAATGAGCAAAAGTCATGATAATGGGATTGCGTGATGGGTTTTAACTAATGGTTTTTAGATTTTCTTGGAAAGATATAATTTGAGCAACTGCTTTAGTCTCCAGGAATACAACCACCAAGTTTTTTGTTTTTGTTTTTTATTGGTATGTGCCCCTAGCGGTAACTGAACCCAGGACTCTCTGGTCCGCAGGCCAACGCTCCAACTGCTGAGCCAAACCGGCCAGGGCCAAGTATTTTTTTTTTTTTTAATGGAAATTTACTATGGTCTTTTGCATAACACTGTATACTTCTTTGGTCAAGAGGACTAACAGATGCAAGTGAACTTGAATTGTGGGAAGTGATTATACTATAATCCAGTGATGACCACCAACTCTTTCTGGATAACCTAAAAATTAGTGAAAATGCTGGTTAAAGAAAATAGGGACTCTGAGGATATAAAATTTTATTTCTGGTCAGAAAGTTGGGCTGCTACCTTCCTTTCCCTTTAGAAAACTGGTTGCTTAATGAAAAAAGTCTTAATACCATAACAACTCAACCTGATTTGAAAGAAACTTCTAATTTTGCCATAAGGCTTAATGCTCTTCCTTTTGCTTAGCCAAGAAAATGTTCTTAGCTTGTCATAAAGCAGTTTGGCACATTCACAAGTTGCCAGGACCGATACCTAGTGTGGACGGAGTGGTTGTGGCGAGAGACTAGAAGGCAACACCGAACACTGGTAACCAGACAGGAGCAGTAGCAGTGAGAGAACTGTGCTGACCCTTCAGACCCAGTCAGATAGATGGCTTGTCAGAATTTTCAGGTTCCTCTCCCCACCTGATGAAACTGGACCCCTTGGATTATCAGTGGGGTTTATTGTTTTAAAAGTTGTTGGGGATGTACAGGAGTAACATTCACACAGGGCCATCTGTGAAAGCAAAGCAAGAATGAAACCTTTGCAGACTTCAAACTGGTTGGATTTCAGTTCATTGTTTTGGCTGTCTGTGATTTTGAGGAGTAAGCAGTTGTTATCCTGTGACTAGCAGATCTTGTTGGTGTGCACATACATAGTGCATAGTATATATATGCAAAGCAGATGGGCAAAAAGATTTTCACGCTAATTTTAAAAGGTTCATCTTCAATATTGTGAAAAGCTTTCAAAAATTGTTTTTCAAAGACAATCATTTTTTTGTTTGTTTGTTTCTATTTTAATTTTCTTGTGGCAAATTGTACTGGAAAAGCAGCATGTCAAAATGCTTTATGTTCCAAATTAGAAAAAAGAAAAAAATGTTTTATGTTCTAGATAGAACTTTCTCTCTCTCTCTCTCTTTTTTTTTTTGTTAAAAGGGTTTGTTTTTTATTTTACTTTTTACTGACAATGTGAAACTCGCAAAAAAATGTTCTTTTTAAATATACAGCTGTAAACTGTTCAAGGTAACCATAACAAACTAGGTGTTATTTATTAACGTATTCTAAAATAATGTTTGATCCAGTATGTGCTTGTCTTATTTAAAATTGGAATGTGGGACATGTTGCTGTGACCTGTTTTTTTTTTTTTTCTCATTCACATTTGTAGATATTGTGTGAACTACAGTATATAATGATAATAATTAAAAGGATATTATGTGAATGCCACGTACATTTTGCAATGATAGAACTATATTAGCTTTGTATCATGTTTGAATAATTCATCAATGTTCACAGTTTAAAACACCATTAAACATTATGTAATTAGCAATGAGAAAGAATGTTACCTAACTTAATTCTGGGTTCCCCCATCTCTTTTCCAAATATATTATAACTCTGGGCCCCTGTTTATCTCAAAATCCTTAACATATGCAGACCATCAGGTTTTTGCATTCCCTTTAAAATATCTGGTTGTGACAGATCTTCTTGTTGATCAAATTCACCATTTCATTCCTATTTATTGTAATATATTTTTGTTTTGTAAATATGTTATACACAATAAAATGTGATTGGTCTAAAATATTTGTAATGTATATTAAAAGGCTCAAAAATATTTTTAGAAATCTGTTATTTTTGCACTTGTAAGAATATAATGACAAGCTCAAATTACACCTTCTGACATGACTCACATTTTAAAAAGTTATGGCTAAAGAATATGAAAAGTGCCCTGGCCAGTTTGGCTCAGCGGTTAGAGCGTCGGCCTGCGGTCCGGAGAGACCCGGGTTCGGTTCCCGCTAAGGGCATGTACTTCGGTTGCAGTTTGTCCCCGGCCCTGGTTGGTTGTGCGGATGGCAGCCATTTGATGTGTCCCTTCACGTCGATGTTTCTCTCTCTCTCTCCCTTCCTCTCTCTCCTCCCACTCTATCTGTACAAAAAATGGAAAAATATCCTCGGGTGAGGATGATAAAAAAAAAAAAAAAAAAGAATATGAAAAGTATATAACACGTTTGTACCAAAATGTAATCTGACAGGATTTCTAGATTTATACTCTAACCCTCCCATTGCCACCGTTGCTGGGATAGGCATACACATTTTGATCATGCTACATAAATACTATGTTTCAAAAGGACTCAGCATAGAAATCCTGGTCTCTTAGCTAGAATATTAATGGGTTTTCAAAGCTTCATTTTTCTACTGAGGCAGAGCGATTGATCCTGGGAGTTTTAACAGTGTTCCTTCCATCTGTGAGGAGACAGGAGAGGAACCAGAAAAATAAACTAAACAAACAGGTAATTAAAGATGTGTTGAGACAATAATATGTGCAGTGTACAGTTTTGAAAAAGTAAACCGAGCAGGAATCTGAAAGATGATAGGGTGAGAATTTGTACTCAAGTAGCCAAGGAAACCTGGGTTCTCATGAAACCCTTTATCTTTCTGTTTTCATTGAAAATTAAGGAAACGGTTCTCCTTTAGAATGAGGGGGTAGGTGGCCCCTAACCCAACCTCCAAAGAGCTGTGTGAAGCAAGCAAGTCCTACCCTTTTTGAGCCTTTTTCTGTAAATCCACCAGATTTTTTTTTTTTTATTCCTCACCTGAGGATTTTTCTACTTATTCAGATAGAGTGGCAGGGGGAGAGAGAGAGAGGACGTGACAGAGCCACATCCACTGGTTACCTGGTTGCCTCCCCTCCACCCCCACCCGACAGGGCCACAAGCCAGGTACATGTCCAGAATCAAACCCGCGACTTTTTGGTCCGGGAGCCTACGCCCCAATCGCTGAGCCAAACCGGCCAGGGCTGGACCAGATGGTTTTTAAACTCTTTTCCAGATTGTTCTAACAAGATAAAACGTTCCATTCCCTCTGAACGGGGCTCAGGACCTAGACCTAGACGGTGGGGTCACGGGGTAAGGTCGGGGTTACTCTGAGCAAGTGGGTTTGCAGGGACGGCGCAGGATGTGGACTAAGAGGCAGGAGCCGCGCTGTGCGCGATGGGGGCGGGGTTATGGGCGAGCTGGGCGGGGCTCTGCGCGGCGGGGGCGGGCCCGACCGTGGTACCGCCCCTCGCCGGGCCAGGGCGGGGGGCTGCGGCAGGAAACCGGAAGCAGCCGCGGCCTCAGCTCGGGAGACATGGCGGGCGTTAAAGGTACATCCCCGGCCCGGCTCGCAGGTCCTGCGGTGGGTCGTGCCTCCGCTGCGGCTCGTGCCTCCGCTGCGGGCCCTGCGTGCAGCTGCGCTTTCAGCGCGTGGGCATGGGCGGCCTCCCGCAGACTCGCTGCGCTGCCCGCCTCTCCGGTGGGAGTGCTCTCGGCCACTCCCTTCGCTTCTTGGGTTGCGGGTGTTGGGGCGTCTGGGACCCTCAGCCCTCTTTTTGTTGGGCCCCTAGCCGTCACGCCCTCCCCGGCACTGCGGACCCGCCTGGCGGAGCCCTCGCGGGAGCATGGCCTGCTGGGCGACCCGCGCCCGCCCCGGAGCATCCCCCTCCCGGCGTCTCCGCTCCCCGGAGAGCTCCCACCGCTCTGCCGGGCTCTCAGCGCGGCTTCCACTCCTGACGGGCCCCCGACGCCCCTCTTTCCTGCCGCGCCCCAGTCCCCCCTTTCTTCCCGACGCGCCGCGGTCTCCAGGGTGCCCGGCTTTGGGACACGTAATCCTGTGGGTCCCGGTGATCTTTTCCAGTAGGCAGTTACTGTAGGCGGCTGGCAATGGAAAGCGCCCAGAAAGGCTGTTTCTCCTCATCGTGGAGCAAGTCAGGTGGAATTTTATCGCTGCTTTCAACTTCGGACCGACAACTGGTGTTTGTGCAGGATGTGTTTCTTAAGGGTGTGGTTGATAAAAGGGGGCATCAAGAACACCAATCCCCTTATCTGTATGTCTCCAGAGGAGAGGGGATGCTCGCGGTGGGAGAGGTCATTGGAAGGCTTCCTGTTATTTTGGGGAGAAAACCATTCCATATATAATCTTTTGACTAGAGAGCATATGTTGTTTTTTTGCTGGAATTCCCACTTTCGTTGAAATTTGTACCCAAAGATCGCTCCACCTGCTATAAACTTGTGTACGGTATTTGCACGCATGGGTATGTTCACGGTAAATTTAGCCAGGTGTGTGAGCTGTTTGCAGCGGATACATTTTATCATTATTTCTGGGTCACTTGTATTCAACATCAGTTTAGTAAACATGATTTATTTGAACAGTGTCCCACGGGTAATAAAGCCATTTGAAGCCAGTGCAGAAAACAGATGACAAGCAGTATCTCACGCACTGTGTTTAGTCATGCCCAGAAACTATCAAATAATAATGTTTGAGTGTGTTGGAAATTGTGGAGGAAGGAAGCTAAGTTATGAAATGTGAAAGGATTAAGGGAAGGAAGCATTTTGCAAGTAATTTAACTTTTGAGGGATTACTGTATGCCTGAAACTTGGGATAAAAAGATTAATGGGAAATTAGAGTTGGAAATTGTTACTATTTTACTGGCTAAGGTGTGCTCAGATGCAGTAGGAACACAAAGGTGGTGTGGGTTGAATCGTGTCTCTCAAATAGATATATTCTAAGTCCCCAACCTGTCCATGTGACCTTATCTAGAAATACGGTCTTTGCAGATGTAATAATCACGTTAAGATAATATTGCATTAGATTTGGCCCTAGCCCAATGACTAAGGTTCTTATAAGAAGAGAGACATTTTGACAAGGAGACATACAGGGACACCATATGAAGACACTAGATAAAGACAGAGGCGGAAAACCTAGTGAGCTGCAAGCCAGGGAGCACCAAAGGTCGCCTGAAACCACCAAGAGTTAGGAAGATGCAGGGAAGGATTCTTTCCTTAGAACCTCCAGAGAGAGCATGGCCTTGCCGACACCATGAAGCCTCCAGAGCTGTGAGAAAAGAAATTTCTGATGTTCTAAGCCACCATATTGATACATTGTTAATAGCAGCCCTAGTAACTAATACAGATGGGATTCCTAAACCTTGCTCCAGGGAGGAGGAGGGCCATTTCTACAGAAGAGTCAATCCTTAAATTGAAGCTAAAAAAATCAATAAGGCTTCACCTGGCAAAGGTTGAGGTGAGGACAGAGTTTATTCCAAGTGAAGAGAATAGCTTGTGACATAGGGCAGGGGGCATGAAAGGGCACATCTTTTTCTCTCCAGGGGCTTAATGCATTATTAAGACTGGAACTTAGTGGGAGAGTGGTCAGGCAGTCAGAGGTCAGACCACATTGAGCCTCAAGTGCCAGAACAACTTGTTGGCTGTGAAAGCAACTGTGAAGGGGTGACACTAACTTTATATAGTTGAGAGACCACTGGCTGCTGTGTGGAGGAGGGACTGGAAGAGATGATTAGAGGCAGGCATGAGATAAGGACCTGTGCTACAGCAGTAGCAGAAGGTTCAAGAGAAGAGGGCTGCTGTAAACTGGATGGCTTAAACAAAAATTTATTTATTCTGGAGATTGGGAAGTCCAAGATCAAGGTGCCAGCAAATTTGATGTCTGGTGAGGGCCTCCTTCCTGGTATAGACAGCCTCTTCTGTATCTTCGCATGGTGGAAGGGGTGAGGGAGCTCTCTGGGGTCTTTTATAAGGGCACTAATCCCATTAATGAGGGCTATGCCCTCATGGCCTAATCACCTCCTAAAGACCTCACATCCCAATACCATCACACTAGGCATTAGGATTTCACATTAATTTTGAGAGGTAGGGGTGGGGGTGGAATACAGGCTTTCAGTGTATAGCATTGAGGTCTGGGAGATTGAGTCTCCTTGATTTGCTGTTTTTCTGGAGGACAGAGTGCTCTGATGGTGTTGGTATTTCAAGATAGAACTTTCAAAGGGAAGAGTGTGTTTGGGAGGAAGGGGTGGGGATGTTTCAGTTTTGCACATGTTGAATTTGAGGTCCTTGTTGGCTACTCAGGCGGAGAAGTCAAGATGGAAGTTGGAAGTGCAGCATTTATGTGGTCAGGACCTTGTGGTACCAGGGAGCTTTGGGTTGAACTCAACATCTCAGCAAGAGTACAGAGTGAAAAAAGAGATGAGGTTGGAATCCTGATCAGCTCCAACTTTAAGAGACGTAGAAGATGCAATTCTTAAAGAATCAACCAGAGATAAACAGTTGTGAACCTTGAGAAATTGGTGTCACAGACCAGGAAAAAGAGGTCTGGTTTCTACGTTTGGAAGCTGTCCGGAAGAGGGAGTAGTGCAGACGGTCAGGTGCAGGGGAGTCAGTGCCAGCTAGGAAGAAATTCTCATAATGAAACAATACATGAAAACTTTTGTACATTTCTCTTGAAAAAGTAACATCTACTAAATGGAAAAATTTGTGAATTAAAATGAACAGTCTTTCCTTGTCGTAATACCTGCATACTTCCAGATGTTTTTTAAAAGCACCTTGGCATCTTCCTGTGAAACTTTCCCTCCAAATTTCTTAATGTAACCATAAGCAGTTAGAATGCTAATTAGTTTAATTAGTGACTAATTCTGAGTGTTACATATTTTTTGGATAATATATCCTATGCTTCTGATTTATACCTCTATCAAAAAGCATTGCTAAAATGAATAGATACCGACATCAGTCAACATTTACTTATTGAGCCTCTCCTTTTGCCAAACACTTTACATAGATTATCTCATTTAATTACCTTAAGCTCCCTAATAAGGTAGCACCATTATTACTATTTTATAGGTGAGAAATCAGGTTTAAAGAGGTTCAGCTTCTACTCAAGGTCACACAACCAGTTGGTAGCAGAGAGGACTTGAACCCATGTTAGTGACTCAGAGCTCAAGATTTTTTAACAAGTTCACAGCCTAAAGACAGATATGTTCCTCTCCCCTCAGAGATTAGTGTCCTAATAGATTCCAGTAATAAATATTTTATTCAGTAGCTGCGACTCATTTCCTATGAAGACATGAAAGCAATCTGCAAATACTTAAAGTACTAAGGTTTGGGGAGGCAAAAATGATCAAAGCGTATATATTACAGAGAAGCAGTTTTGCATATAATTGAAGGAAAGAAGGGTTTCAACATTTAGAAACTGTCAGATTGAAATGACCTGCCTCAGGTGGTAGTGAATTTTCTTTCACTGGAGTTGTACAGACTGGCTGGCTGGCCTCTTCTGACTGATAGGGAATTCGTACATTAGATAGAGGTTAGGTACTGGAAATTCTTGGACCTTTCTCCACCTAGTAATTTAAAAGTAGTGGATATAGGCAATGACATGCTATTCAAATGTAACATCAACTAATGAAATAAGTAAATTACTACATTTGCTGAAATTTGGAACATTTTTTTATTAAAACTTTTTATCGAGATATGTATAATTCACATACCACAAAGTTGACCTTTTTTAAAATGTTAAATTCTGTGGTTTTTAGTATATTCACAAGGTTATGCAACCATCACTACTGTCTAATTTCTAAATATTTCATCACCCCTAGGAGAAACTCTGCACCCATTAGTAGTCGCTCCCTGATCCTCCCCTCTTCCCCCAGCCCCTGGCAACTACTGATCTGGAACCTATGACTCTTGGTTTTATTTTTCACAGCTCTTGTGTTATTATCCTTCAGTGGGGCTATTGGACTGACTTTTCTTATGCTGGGATGTGCCTTAGAGGATTATGGGTAAGTTATTTCAAAAAATCTATTCTTTCTGTGTCTGTGTTGCGCGCGCGCTCGTGTGTGTGTGTGTGTGTGTGTGTGTGTGTGTGAGTGTGATAAGTGTTAGGGAGTTTGGTCAGTTTAACACCAAGCTCTAACCAATGAGTTAGTGAAATCCAAATTATGACTCCAATCCCTTCATAGGTCAGCTGTACTTGTGCAGAGAAAAGCTCTTTTTAACACTGATATATTCATTTACTAAGCATATATTGAATACATACTCTGCATCATCTAGGGATACAAGAATGAAGAGAGACATAGTCCTGTCCTCAGGGAGATTACAGTTCTAATTGTGAGTAAGAGACCGGTAACAATCCCTTTAGTAAGATGACAGCTGTAGTAGAGATACGAGAAAAGTACAGTGAGAGCTTTGAGAAAGTACATCAGAGTATCAGAGTTTCCCTGGGACAGTTGGGAGGGCTGCATAGAAGTTGTCTCTAAGCTGAGACTGTGGATAAATGAGAGTTTATCAGGCTGAGTCAGGGGGGTGCATTTCGAGAGAGGGAATATTCAACAGATTTCTTTATTCACAACTGTTGGTTCAGTGCTTGCTGTGTGCCAGTTGCTGTTATGGAAACTGGGGGTAAGAAATAAGAAAACAAGGGTCTTGCTCTCTTGCAGTATGTATTTTAGTGGGGGAGACAGCAAACAGATTTTAAAATGTTCTTGCTATCGGAGGTAGACTTGTTATGAAGAATAAAGGGTAAAAGGCACAGGGGCTCGGGATGGTGGTCATCATGTTGAAATGGTGGACCATTGGGGATGGGACAACAATAACCTTGAGGTGTGAGTTGAGGCCAAATTTTCCCAAAAGGGAAGGTCGGGTACATGGAAGATCCAGTAGTCATGTGTTATGGGCCTTCATTATGAAAAACACTCTGGATCATTTCTATCCTGTGAACTATCACGATCCAAGTTTTGCTGTCTGTCTCATTTTTCTGTATTTTGCATCTAGTATTACATTTATAAGGCTATAAAAGAGTATTAAGTTATCTTATACATCTTCAATAATCATAAACAATTGGATTATTAGCAAAACCCAAGAACAAGTATATTATTATAACTAACGTCAGCATACAGGTAAAGACAATCAAACAAATTGGTTTCTGAGCTTAGCATCAATCTGTAGATATCCAGGCCTTGTCAGTGTCTTGGGATGGCTGTCTACCTCTGATGTCAGTGGCTTCTCATCCTAGAGGAGTCTTTGATGTCTGTTGTAGGTGGAGCAAGTGTCAGAGATGGGGTAGATGTCCGTTTGTGGTTAGGTGCCTGATAAGTGAGGTTGGAGAGTGTCTTTTATTTGATATCCTTTCCAGTAATTAAAATCTCAAGATTTTAATTATTCTTAAAATCTTTGTCTTCTGGTTGTTCCTCCAGATACATTTCATAGACATCAAAGTCAATTATTAACATGGACTTCTGTTTATAAGACCCCAAGTAAAATATAATATAAATATATTAAATTTAAAGTACTAACTTAAAAGACATGTCTGTTCTACTTAAACCAACAAACTTAAACTAGTTTTTGTTTACTGACGGTTAATCTTAGATCATGTGAATTTAAAAAGCATTTGAGTTAGTTTCTGTATTTCTGAGAATTTTGAAATACCCAATCACAAGTGCTTATCTTTAAATTAATTTTAATAATAACATCCAGAGGTAGAAAATTATCTCACATTTTCAGTGTTCATATATACACACAAATAGACAAAAAACAGAAATCTTTGGCCATGAGAAAAACTCGCTAGTATATTAAAAAACACACACACACACACAAACAGTTGGACCCCCATTTTTTTTTGGAGGCATTTACAGTTTATATTGTTGATGTAAGAAATGTTTAAACCATAGAGAATTTTTAGCCCTGGCTGGTGTGACTCAATTGGTTGAGCCTTATCTCATGCACCAGAAAGTCCGGTGGTTCAATTTCAGGTCAGGGCACATGCCCGGCTGCGAGCTTAATCCCCAGTAGGGGGCGTGCTGGAGGTAGCTGATCAGTGTTTCTCACATCAATGTTTCACTCCCTCAACCTTCCTCTCTAAAAAAATCAATGAAAACATGTTTTAAAAAATAAATAAACCTGTAGAGAATTTTTATAAGAGATTATTTGAGCCAAAACTAACAATTGCTGGGAAGCAAGATTTTAAATGCTCTGAAGAACAGTTTTGCAATTTCTTTTATGTATTTGACATTAAGGAGGGAATGTAAGGAAGATTACACAAAGGTGGGAGAAATCAAGGTATAGGATAGTTAAGAAGATTACAGGCTCTCTTGAGGGTAGTTATGCTTATTTCAAAGGTATATTGGGATGCGCATACACACACACACACACAAACACAAATGGACAGGGCTTGCTTAAGGCAGAGATAAACAAACCTTTCACTAAAGAAGTTACATGCCTAGGGTGTGACTACCCACTAGGACCTGGCCATTTAGGAATTTATGATCAGATCTCCCTGTGAGGGTATCTTCTGTCACTGAACTTGTACATACTCTCTCTCTCTCTCTTTTTTTTTTTGGTCCACAGTGGCTTACTGTAAATGGGAACATAGATTTTCTTTAGAAAACTTCTTGTACTCTGGGAAGAATGAAGAGCTCTTGTCTGGGTATGTCAGGAGCAGCTAGGTCTATTCCAGACCTCTTCTCCAATCTGTATCTGTTTCCTCACTGGTACAGTAGGGCTTTGAACCAGGGAATCTCTAAAAACCCCTTCCAACGACATTGTTCAGGGATTCTTAAAATTCACTATAATTCCTCCAGTTTAACATCAGAAGCCCAGATTCAGTGTTTCTGTCCTGAGTCTCTTAAGGGCACATTCCTTTCTTGCTTTTTGGTTACCCATCCTGCCCTCCTAGGCAGTGGTCGCAGTGGGAAGCTCTCATTACAGTGTGGCTTCACACCCGCTGCTGCTCAGAGGAGCTGTCTACTGGGGTGGAACTATGTTAATCAAGGCAGTGTGGTGATGTATATAGTATTGTGGAGTACATGTATATATAAATGAGTAGAGACTATGCCTTTATTCCCCCGTCAGAGAATAAAATATAATACATGTCTAATGGAGAAAAACTTTTATTTATTGATTGATTTTAGAGATAGAGATAAAGGGAGAAAGAGAGAGAGAGAGAGAGAAACATCAATTTGTTGTTCCACTTATTTATGCATTCTTTGTTTGATTCTTGTATATGTGCCCTGACCAGGGATCGAACCCACAACCATAGCATACCAGGATGGTGCTCTAACCAATTGACCTACCCAGCCAGAGCTTGAGAAAAATATTTCTGAAGTATTTATACAGGAAATATAATTGGAAAGCAGATAACAATTTTTAATAAATGCAAAACATTGCAATTTAAGAAGAATAGCTTTTTTTTTCCGCATTACAGAATTATTGTGATCTCTTAAAAAGATTAGGGTGTACCTAAAATTTTTACTAATAAGCATATTTTGTTTCATGTCTTCCAAACTTTAAATCTATTTATCATTTTGCTCATTCAATAAATATTAATGAAGCACCCCATTCTGGGCCCTGGAGATAAATGGTGATTGACACAGACAACTCAGATCCCCATTCTCATGAACAAGAAAATATCAAATAGGAGTAAGTGCTGTGTAGAAAGTTTAAGAGGGTGATGTGCTCAGGGGTGACTTGAGGTTTTTAAAATGGATGGTCAGGCTAAGCCACTCTTAGCAGGAGACCTCTCAGTTTAGCTTGCATGATAAGAAGGAGCCAGCCAATGAGAAGATCGTGGGAGGAGCATTCCAAGCATAGGCCAAAGCTATAATACAAAGGCCCTAAGGCAGGGATGGGCTGAGAGTGTTTAAGGAACAGAAAGAAAGCTGATGTGGCTACAGATTAAGTGAATACAGTTGTCCCTCACCACTTCACATGCTTTTCGTGGCTTCACTCTATTGCCGTTTTTTCAAATATAGTATAGTATTCGAAAAAACTGCAATCAAGTGAAGCCGCGAAAGTCAAAGGGCAAAGTGGTGAGGGACGACTGTATATAAAGAATCCTACTTTGCGGAAATTCATTTATCACGGTCCAGTCTGGAACTGATTAACCACGATAAATGAGGGCCGACTGTACAGGGAAGATGGCACAAAGTGAATAAAATAACTTGACTCCATCATGTAAGATGTAGGTCAGGGCAAGGAATCTGGGTTTTACTCTAAGCCATTGGAAGTTTTCCAACATGCAAGCACTCAAAAATCTTTATTGAATTAGTATGTGCAAAGCACTATATACTATGTTCTATAGGGAAAGCAAAGATGTCTAAGTTAAGCTTTCGTTTTAAAGAAATTACAGCTCAGTAATAATGGAAAGCAGTAAAGATTCTAGATTATACATTGTGCAGTTTCTTATCACAATATTGATGATCTATATATTAATGACTAGTAATTTTTAATTACCATTATCTCTTGTCTGTTTCTGGTAGAAATCATCTTGAATGCAAACACTGACAGATGAATAAATAATTTTGGGGCCTAGACATTTTAAATAATATTAAAATAATATTAACTTTGAAACAGTAGAATGTCTTAACTGTAACTTTTCTTTTTGCATTTCTTCGGGTCCAAACAACAGTGTTTACTGGCCCCTGTTCGTCCTGATATTTCACGCCATCTCTCCCATTCCTCATTTCGTTGCCAAAAGAGCAACATACGACTCTGACGCAACAAGCAGTGCCTGTCGGGAACTGGCATATTTTTTCACTACTGGAATTGTTGTTTCTGCCTTTGGATTTCCTGTTATTCTTGCTCGTGTGGCTGTGGTGAGTTTTGTTCTCTATTATTTTGACCATTTGTTGCTGAGTTTATGTCAAAGGCCTGTGACTGGAACCACCATTTCATTTTTGTTGCTTAGACTTAATAATCAAAGCCAGCATATTTTCAGTTAATCTAGTCCACATTTTAGATGTACCTATCAACATCTTGGCCATTTTTAGAATGCTTTCTTAGTTTCTCTTACTACTTTTAGCCAGACCAAGTGATTTCTTGCTTTTTCTATTTTCTAGAATTGTTCTTAAGCCCTTGCCTTTTTTTTTTTTTTTTTATCCTCACCCGAGGATATTTTTCCATTTTTTGTACAGATAGAATGGGAGGGAGAGAGAGGAAGGGAGAGAGAGTGAGAAACATCGACGTGAAGGGACACATCGAGTGGCTGCCACCCGCACGACCAACCAGGGCCAGGGACAAACTGCAACCGAAGTACGTGCCCTTAGCGGGAACCGAACCCGGGTCTCTCCGGACCACAGGCTGACGCTCTAACCGCTGAGCCAAACTGGCCAGGGCAGCCCTTACCTTTTATCTTAGGGCAATCCACAATAACAATCTTTTTCTAGTTTCAAATTGAACATCTAAATGAGTCCTGATCACCCAGTCTCGGTGTGTGTGGAGCGGGGATTTTCCCCACAACCCCAAAGAGTAATTCTCTAACACCAGCTAGGTGTCCTAGAATTCATTCAATTCTGACACTATCTTCCCAGAGATAGCATCACAATCCTACATGTTAAGGGCTTAGTCCCACAAGACTGTCCTCTATTTCAGTTGCCAATCAAAAGTCCAGGTTGTCACTTGTGCTTCTGACTGACTGGCTGTAGATCAGAGGTCCCCACGGCCCTCATCTGGATTTGATTCATTTGTTCACAGAACTCAGGAAACCCATTTACTCACTATGTTACTAGTTTATTAAAAACAGCCTGATGGGAGAGATGCATATGGCAAGGTATGGGGAAAGGGGGAGGAGCTTCCATGTCCTCTTGAACACATCACTCTGCCCAGATCACCAAGTTGCCAACCTAGAAGCTCTCCAAAACTCTTCATTTTGGATTTTTATGGGGACTTCATTACATAGGTATGATCAATCAAATCATTGGCCATTAGTGATTGATTCAGTTTCCAGCCCCTCTCCCTTCCCCAAATGTCAGGGGAGGGTGGGACTAAAAGTTTCAACCATCTAAGCACATGGCTGGCCTCTATGGCCACCAGCCCCCATCCTTAGGTGCTTTCCAAAAGTCACCTTATTACCAATAAAAGTCACCTTTATCTCTGTTACCACTTAGGAAATATCAGATGTTTTAGGAGCTCTGTGCTAAAAGGAGAGGAAGATCAAATATATAATATTATAAATCACAATATCACAACATCATATCAGATTCTTTTCCTTCAGTAGGATCATGGACACAATTCTGAACACAATAGACATATGTTGAGGGGCAACTATATAGCTATTAGACAATACAGTGAATGAAAAACACATTATGGGTATAATTTATTTCATTCTTTTCATTTACTGTCTTTCATATTCTTTGCTTTTATTACCCCAATTACATACTGTTTTGATTTCTTGAAACTTATTGGGACATTGCATATCAGATATATACTAGTCTTATTTATTCATTTAGTAAATATTTTGTAATATCTGTTATTTCTAAGACACCAGGAATAAGAGCCAGATGTTGTCTCTGTTCCCAAAGAGCACAGAAACTGACTTGATGGGTAAACATACAATAATGTACTGTGTGATAATTAAAACAGTATCAGAATACCTTGGGAACACAGAGAGAAATTCTAACTGGCATTTGATGTGGGTTTTGATAAATAGGGTTTTGATTAAAGTAGGGAAGACTGTTAAATAGAATGGCACCCAGCTGTGAAAGTGCAATTAATATGTGGAATAAAGAGCAGTAGTCCAATATGATGGAGCAAAACAGGAGTGATTGAGATTGAGGTTAGAAAGGTTGGTGAAGCCTTGATTGGGAAGGGTCTTCGATGTTGTGCCAGTTTGAACTCTTATCTGGATAATAGAGAAGCATTGGTGGTGTTTGAATGCAAGATTGTCATGACACTATTCTTTTTATACCTCAGACTAAGTAATTCTTAAATTTTCTATAAGGATTTTTATTTTTACCTCTCATTACTGCATCTTGTTTTATGAAGCAACTTTCATTGATGTTTTTTTTTTTCTATTGGTTAAATTAAAACAAAAAATGTCCACTAGAGGGTACTCTCAACCCCAACTGTACCTCTGTAAAATCACCTGCCCCGCTGGAAAGCTGTTTACATTTGCATGCAGATTATTTTCAAAAGTTTTTTCTTGCCTAGCAAATAAACAAATCAATCCATTACCTATTTTCATGAAAGAAGGCAGTGAGTATAGAACTTTCAGTACCCAGTGTTGCCCTTGGACGCTTTATAATCTGCATGTATTTTACTAAGGCCATCATTGTCTGCGGAGAACAAGTAGGGAAGTATGTCTAATGGGGAAAATGTTACGGATGATACTAGACTTAATTAACAAGCATCGCGAAGTAATTAGACCAATTACCGAATAGTTCACTGTCTCCTGCCTGTTACATTAAGCCTTTTAGCAGTTTTATGTAATATTTCATTAGATGTTTCTAATGTAGAAAATAACAGATTTGCAAAGAATATAATATGATGAAAGTAAAGATTTAATCCTTTTTTCTTGTGTTTCAGATCAAATGGGGAGCCTGTGGCCTTGTGCTGGCAGGCAACGCAGTCATTTTCCTTACAATTCAAGGCTTTTTCCTTGTATTTGGAAGAGGAGATGATTTTAGCTGGGAGCAGTGGTAGCACTATATTCTGATAAAATGCATTTAATTTCTTAAAATTCATACTATATGTATGTGTGTGCACATGTGGCCTTTTGCTATGAAATTCAATATATTGTTTTTTTTTATACTTTTATATCATGTTCACTTTAAGGAGAACTACATGAGAAAGAGATTCATTTTATTACCAGCAAATAGACTACTCCATTTACTCAAGTTGAATTATGTTACTTGGCTGTTCATATAGTCATGGTGCTCTCAGAGAATATATTAGGACAGTGTTGTAGCCAGCTGCTCACATATGCAGTGTAGCTACACCTTTTGCCTGGGGATGTGCTTGGATAGGAGCAGGTCTCAGTTCTGCTCAGGATTTCTGAGATACACTTGTGGCCCAGAGAGACAGAGGTGGCTTATTCTTTGTGTGGTAGACCTTTGCTTCTCAAAGTGTGGTCCATAGACCAAGAGCACTGGCATCTCCTGGGCGCTTATTACAAGTGCAGAACCTGAGGCCCTACCCCAGACCTAGTGCATTTGATGACATCCCTAGGGAATTGGATGAGAAGCGCTGTCATAAAGGACTAAGCATCCTATGTAGCTTCCTTTTCTTCCCCTTGCTGACCCTGTTAACCTCTCTGGGTGTTAGCTGCTTCTTTGTGAAAATTGTTTCACCTGCCCTCATGTTGAGGGCTATTTTAGACTCTGGTATTTGTGAAATGTCCAAACCTCTAATGTATAGGCTGTTCCTCAAATGTATGAAGTGTTCTCAGTAGGGAACAGCTAGCTCTGCCTTCACACTGTCTGAAAGGCAGTGGCTGTTTTCAGTGCTCGGGACAGAAGGACCCAGAGCCCTACTGGGATGCAGGGGAGGGAGGCCAGGAACCAATCCCTGTGTTAGCAGGATGAAGAAGAATCGATAGGTAATTCTGTTTAATTTCCCTGTATAATCTGACACGTCTGTCCCGCTCCTTCCCTGTGTTGCTCCTCCCCCTCCCCCTCTTCCCCTCCCCCCTCCCCTCTCCCCCCTCCCCCTCTCCCCCTCTCCCAAACACACACTCCCAGCAGTTCTGATTTGCCCTGGCTTCTTCATGACTCTGGTGCCTCCTTTCTATAGAGACATGGAACCAAGTAAGCAAGCAGAGGGTGAGCTGCCTCATTTTACTTACATGTTGATGTACTTACTGTCTTTTATGTCCTGTAGGACTTTTTATGTATTTGATAACACTAGGCCACTTTTAAGTGAATTACTAGGCATACCTGTCATGCTGGATCTTATAATCACAGTTTTTCTAGCTCAACTTTATGTCCAAGACCTATTGAGAAAGGGAAATACGGGAATTAGAACCACTTAATCAGAATAGTATAAACAGTGATTTTAGAATATTGTTAATGTGCGATAACTGACATACATTCAAAATACTTACCCTTTAAGTTTGTAATCTGAGTAATTAGCATACCCCTTCATATTCTGGAGTCACATTGGGACCAGGAGAAGATAAAAGTGACACCTCAAAGGACAACATACAAAGTTATATTTTGACCTTGTGCATGATTTTATGTTTTTGGTGTTCTATGTACATATAGAATTGTTGAAGTTATCATTTCCAATATTTATATTAGGAAAATTATAGACACTTTCTAATTTTAACCATCATTTTTAATAACACCTGTACTTATTGTATTTTAATAAATTTCACTTTAAACACAAAAGGAGTTCAATTTAAGTCTTTTTTCTGATGTAATCTTATTTAAAATTAAGATAACAAAAAAGTGAGAATTTCTTGGTGTTCTGATATGGGCAGTTTCAAGTGATAATCTGTCTTGCAATAGAATAATAGCAATAAGATTAAGATTTCAATTTGAATGTCTAATTGGCCTGTAATAGCTTTTCTCTTCCTAAGATGGAAATAGTGTTTAATTTGTACTACCTTTTGCAAAAATGTCTTTGTTGCTTACATACATTTCAGATAACCAAGGTAGCCTTAATGTTAGCCTTAAAGCATTGCCTCTTGATTGTATTTCCAGAATGATATAAAGTACTTGCCTATAGAATATTTGTAGTTATTTCCTAATAATGGAATGGTTTGTTGAAGTGGTAGATTATTGGATTTGCTATATACCTGAAAACAGAGACACTTATTCTGGAGTGCTTACTTATTTCAGTAATAAATGTCAGTAGGAAGTTTTTCTATATATGAATGTACAAAACAAGTTTCATCTTGGTGACATACATTGGACATATTTTTCCTTATACATGTTTCTTTTTTTGTATATACCGTAGAATATATTTTGGAGATTCAAAGCACATTGATTACTTCTTTTTTTTTTTTTAATTCTCACCTGAGGATATTTTTCCATTTTTTTCAGTAGGAGGGAGAGAGAGGAAGAGAAAGAGAGAGAAACATCGACGCGAGAGGGACACATCAACTGGTTGCCTGCTCTACAACCCCTATCAGGGCCAGGGACGAACTGCAACCGAAGTACATGCCCTTGACCGGAATCAAACTCATAACTCATTGGTCCGCGGGCTGATGCTCTAACCGTTGAGCCAAACTGGCCAGGGCCACATTGATTACTTCTAAAACAGATTACACAAAGAATTGCCTATAAGTAAGTAATCTTATAAAAAGATTCTTTATCACATTCTAAACATCTGGCTTACAGGTATATTTTGGAACACTTCTCCCACAGAAACAATGGTATGCATTGATGATTGAGTTCCTAGGCCAAGTCTTCGGTGTGGGCTGCACCCTGATGTGGCTGACTTTGGTAGCTGCATGAGGTGTGGGTCTTGGAAATCGGAGTGTGAACACTTTGGAGGGAGGAAAGTATAAATTCCCATCTCTTTTCCTAAGGACTGGGTCTTTCTTCAGTTGTTGCAACCCTTTCCATCCCCTAACGCCCTTAGGGTCCAGGTACACTCCTGTAAGGTTGGCTGGCCTTCTTTCCTGGACCAGGGTCCTCCTAGCCTTCCCTGCCTCCTGGGGTTCTTCATATTCCAAAAGCACCCACCTTCCTACTACCAGTCAGTTTTCTGAGTATAGCTGATATCATAGCTGATAAGAAGAAAAGTGTTATCAAACTCCTTCCCAGAAAGAATGAATGAGGGGTTCACCTTCCCCACATCTGAAGTTCACCAATACCTACATGGTGCAGTTGCCACAGAGTGTTGCAGCTGCATTTTCACAAGGTCACACCTCGGAACCCATGACTTTCACAGAAAATGGCGGTGTTTCAAAGCAAAGTGGAAAAAGCATCCCAACCATGTATAGAAGGATAATAATGTTTTGGGGGCAGGGTCAACCCTGTCACATCTCATCTCTTCCTCAGGATGAGTTCTCAGCTAGTCCAATTTTCCATAGTTGTTTCTTTTCCTCCACTTATGAACCCACAGATTTTATTTTATTTTATTGATCTTGGAGAGACGAAGGATGAGAGAGAGAAACATCATTGTGAGAGGGAAACATCAATCAGTTGCCTCTTGCACATGCCCTAACTAGGGATCGAGCCTGCAACATGAGTATGTGTCCTGATTAGAAATCAAACCACCACCCTTTGGTGCATGGGACGAGGCTCCAACCAGCTGAGCACCACCAGCCAGGGCCCCACAGATTTTTCTTACCATCTCCTCAATGCGTCTTTACCTATGAGGTATCTTCTTCATGAAGACTTCCAGAGTATAGCTGAAATGTTTCATTACATGAATACCATTCCTTATGCTCTCAGCAAATGCTGAGATGTTACAAAAATGTGCTTTTTCAGAGTTTGCAAAATTTAGATTTTGTACCATAATTTAACCAAAATATTTATGAGGATGCTAGCATTTTCCAAGCATAGTAATTAGTTCACAACTGGGAAATATTTCTGTAGATGAATATAAGTTGTGCAATTAAATTTTCATCTTACCATTCTGCCTCATGAAGTACCTTATTTGCAAAAATTCTAGTGTGTAATAGCTCATGACTTACAATCTGCTAGGCTCCTGGAGGAGAGCAGTGATACGTGTGACCCCAAACATGAAAGATTCCAAGACTGCTTCAGAATACATTATCATATATGTAGGATGAGGATGATTACTTTTTAAAAAAATATGTTTTTATTGATTTCAGAGAGAGGAAGGGAGAGGGAGAGAGAGAGAAACATAGATGAGAGAGTGAAACATGGATCTCGGCTACCTCCTGTGCACCCCCTACAGGACTGAGCCTGAAACCCCGGCATGAGCCCTGACCAGGAAATGAACCAGCGACCTCTTGGTGCATGGGCCTAGTAGGGTCAATAAAGAGCCAAACAGGCCAGAGAGGATGACTACATTTGAAATAAAACTCATCATTTACACTTTAACAAAGACTTATATGTACATTATTATTATTATTACTATTATTATTTCATTAATCCTCACCCAAGGATATTTTTTTCATTGATTTTTAGATAGAGTGGAAGGAAAGGAGGGGGGGAGAGAGAGAGAGAGATAGAGAGAGAGAGAGAAACATCATTGTGAAGGAGACACATTGATTGCTGGCCTCCCTTACAACCCTGACTGGGGTAGAGATCAAACCTGCAACCCAGGTATAAGCTCTTGACCAGGAATCAAACCTGCAACCCTTCGGTTCGTGGATGGACTCTTAACTGCTGCGTCAAACCAGCCAGGGTTATGTATATTATTAAACTAAAAAGTTTGTATTTTACTTTGGGATACATTACATTTAGAAAGACCAGCAGATTTATTTTCTCAGTGTTTTTGTTTGGATAATCTTAATGTGAATTCAATGAGTTTTGAGCCTGTATTTACTGAAGTTGGAATGAAGCAGTCCAGGAATGTGTGCTAACTGGAAGGAATCCAGTCCCTAATTATGACTTTGCTGTAGCTAACACTCTGGAGGTGGAGGTGGGTGTAAGCGGCATGGTTAATCAAGAGTTTGCTGGACTGGAAAAGGGAGAAAAACTCAATACTTAAAAAAAGTTCTGTACATGTTCTGAAGAGTCTTTCTGCACTGCAGAAGAGAAAGCACTGATGTAAAATACTACTTAAGAAATAGTGTCCTTATGCACAAAATATTTGGGGAAGATCTGATGTCTTACAGGTGGACTTAGGAAGAAATCGAGTTAGATTATTTTTTTGTGTTGCCCAACTAAGTGTAAAGTTAAATTTTTATAGAAATTTGATAATGGCAACATAACTGGAAAATGCCCATAAGAAAAAAACAGTTCCTAAGGAAATGTCTCTGGTCCAAGGGTTTGTACATACTTATTTTCATTTGGAAAACATTCTGGATGCACTGAGATACTTCATCTGGGGCTGAGAGTGAATGTGTCTGGAGAAAGCATGTACCTACTTGCTATTTATAGCAGGGGTGTGTGTGTGTGTGTGTGTGTGTGTGTGTGTAATTTGGAGGGTCAGCTAAATGTGAATACAAAGATCTTGTTCAGTAATTATTGGGAAGTCATTTTTTTCGTTGTGCTTTCTTCAGTGGCTCTTACGTTTTTCTGTTCAAATTTCATCCTCTTTGTTTTTGCAGAAGTAGAAACAAATTGTTTTTCTTAAAAAAGCACTAAAGTTGGTGAAGAATTTACATTTCAAAGCTTTCCCACTTTTTTTTTTTAATCCTCACTGGTGGACATTTTTCCATATTTTGTTCAGATAGAGTAGGAGGCAGAGAGAGAGAGAGAGAGAGAAGCGAGAATGTGTCTGAGACACATGGACGTGAAAGACACACATCGAGTGGCTGCCACCCGCACCACCCAACCAGGGCTGGGGACAAACTGCAACCCAGGTACGTGCCCTTAGTGGGAACTGAACCCGGGTCTCTCCGGACCACAGGCCAACGCTTTAACCGCTGAGCCAAACCAGCCAGGGCTCATTATGCATTTTAAATTAAGGAGAGAATGTAAGGGAGATTACATGGAAGTAGAATAAAGCAAGGCAGGGAACACAATTGATACTAAGATTATGTGCTTTCTTGGTGGTTATTT